ACTTCATTACAAACAATTGTCAATTTTATTTTGGACATTAGTCCCTAAAAGAATGTTTTTTAATGGAATTATTGCCATCTGGCCTTACTTCTTTGTGCATTCCAAAATAAAAGCTGATGCCAGGGGAGACAGGGTCCCCTCTCTCCAGTTTACATCATCTCTGAGAGGCAAAAACAGGCTGCAGGAAAGCCATAGAATTTTTCTTTCCAGACATTACTTTTCAAAGATCCTGTTTTTGCTGAAAAATGTTTGATTTCACTCAGAATGGTAGATTAAATGGAGTTTGAGAAACACCATTCCTTTTGCTAAAGTAAAATCAGAGGCTCTTTGTCCAAATTAGCATGTTATATTTTAATAGATATTGATGCAGAGCAATCAAGTCCTGTGTTCTCTTTAAAGAAATAACAAAAAGAAATGTGACATAGAGAATGTAGAAATGGGGGCTGGTAATTATGGCGTAGTAGGTTCAGCCTCCATCTGCAGTGCTGGCATCCCATGGGCACTGGTTCGAGTCCCAGCTGTCCTACTTCCCATCTAGCACCCTCCTAATGGCCTGGGAAAGCAGTGGAAGATGGCCTGAGTGCTTGGGCCCCTGCACCCACGTCGGAGACCTGGAAGAAGCTCCTGGCTTCTGGCTTCAAATCGGCCCGGCTCTGGCCATTGCAGCCCTCTGGGGAGTGAACCATCGGATGGAAGACCTCTCTCTCTGTCTCTCCCTCTCTCTGTCTGTAACTCTGCCTCTCAAATAAATGAATAAATCTTAAAAAAAAAAAAAAAAGATCAGAGAGAAGCTTGCAGGTGCCCCTGGAGAAAGCTCCTCTAGAGAGCAGCCAGGTGATTTAGGCTCAAGAAGAGGAAGTGGGGAAGCAGTGGAAGGAATGGGAACTGGACTTTCTATATTGAATCATGGCAGTGCCCTTGACCAAGCCAGACACTGCCTTCTTTAGTTTCCCCACAGAAACCTTTTATTTAAGGGATACAAACTTCATATATTTCATAATTACAACTTAGGAACATGCTGATTCTTCCCACCATACTCAGACACTGCTCTCAAGTGTTATTGTATTTGATTCTCACTTCTGTGAGATGAGCATTGTCTTTTTGCCATTTAACAGACAAGGGAGACACAGAAAGGCTGAGTATTTCGATGAGATCACACAGCAAACAGGTGGTAGAGTTGATCATTAAACAGGAGCTGATTACTAAACCCAAGGTGAATCCCAAGGGCAGATCCCGAGCCTTCACACTCCATGTTGGAAGCAGTTGTGTAAGAGGACATAAGTATTGATTTTTCACTGTTACTGGTGGCAATTTCAGATGGATAGAGATAAATCAAAGTGATTATCTTTCTTTTACTTTTTGTTATGAAATAATAAGAAAAGCGCACAAATTATATTTGCAACTATCCCCTCGATATTTGTTTTTAATACCATTCTTCAATAAAAGGAAGCAAGATTTCTTGGAGAAATGGCTGACTGCAGGAGTAGGGCAGAAAATATACAAAACGAGCCAAGGGCATGTTGTGCCAGAAACTAAGAAAGTGCTCAGAACACCCCCACAATGGCGGAGTATGAGAAAGGAACACAAGAGCCCACTGGAAGAGCGCCCCATAGCCAAAACAACAACATGAGTAAAGTAGGATTAAATTATTACCCACCAAAGGTATTAAATAGTCATGACTTCATAGAATGATAAGTAAATAATACCTGTAAATGATGAACAAATGACCAAATGAAACAAATGAGGAAGACAAATCTTCCAGGCAAAAGAATTCCAAAGACTTTATTAATACTGCATGCTATGGGAGGTGGAGTGTAACTCGCCACCCCATTCAGTGTGAGCTGCACATGGTGACTTCCTTCCACAAAGTACAGTATGGAAAGGAGTTTGGTTTTTTTTTGTTTTTTTTTTTTTTTTTTTTTTTTTTTTTGACAGGCAGAGTGGACAGTGAGAGAGAGAGACAGAGAGAGAAAGGTCTTCCTTTTTGCCGTTGGTTCACCCTCCAATGGCCGCCGCTGCAGCCGGCGCACTGCGCTGATCCGATGGCAGGAGCCAGGAGCCAGGTGCTTTTTCCTGGCTTCCCATGGGGTGCAGGGGCCCAAGCACCTGGGCCATTCCTCCACTGGACTCCCTGGCCATAGCAGAGAAGCTGGCCTGGAAGAGGGGCAACCGGGACAGAATTCAGCGCCCCCAACCGGGACTAGAACCCGGTGTGCCGGCGCCGCAAGGTGGAGGATTAGCCTATTGAGCCACGGCGCCGGCTGGAAAGGAGTTTTAAATCACAGTGCAACATGACAAATGCTGGCTCAGCCAATAGATCAGGATTGATACTAACAGGGATAAGTCTTATTAGTAGTGGGTACCTTCCAAGTTCAAAAAACAAATAATGTATTCTGGTTCCTGTTCAAGTTCAAGAAAGATAGTGGGTACCTTCTCTGTGATGTGAAGAGAAAGGCACTTTGCTCCTGTGGTCTTCTTCCCCAAAGCCCCTTAACTCCTATCTAACTATGAAAAAAATCTAAAAAATTCGAACTTAAGTTAACTTCTACAAAAAACACATGACCAATACTCCTCAAAACTGTCAAGATCATCAAAAAATATGAGAAGCCTGTAAAACCATCATATTCAAGAGAACCTAAAGAGACACAATGACGACTGGCTGTTGTGGCCATCTGAGGAGCGAACCAGCAGATGAAAGATTGTTTCTGTCTCTCAAATAAAGAATAAATCTTTAAAAAAAAAAAAGAGACACAATGATTAAATGTGATGTTGGATCCTGGGAGAAAAGGACATGAGGTAAAAACTAAGGAAATCTGTATAAAGTGTGGACTTTAATTAGTAATGTACCAATATTTATTTCTGAATTCTGACAACACTAACCATGTACCACACTAAAGTATGATGTAAATAAAAGGGAAAACTCTGTGCAGGATGAAGTACTTTGAGATGTCTCTATAAATCTAAGATTGTTCTAAAATAAGCTTATTAAAAGGTAATAACTATCATACGACTGCCTATGTAAATGACCACCCAGAGTTAGACCATCACCAGTACTTATAAGCCTGTTTCTCTTCACAGTTATATCATCAGCTTTCCCACTAGAGGAAAATATTTTATGATAACCTGCTGTTCTTTAAAGTTTTTCTGCTAATTTACATTCCTAAAGAGTATAGGGTAGTTTTGCCTGGTTTGAAATTTATGTTTGTATAAATGTCATCATATTCTATGTGTTCTTGTGTGTCTTGCTTAAAATTTGTGTTGCTGCATGTAGTTGGTGTTGGTTACTCATTTTCATTGCTATACAGAATTACACTATATGAACACACCAGAGTTTGTGTATACATTTTATTGTTGCTGGTTGTTTAGGTTGTTTCTGATATGGGGCTCTGAAAAGAATTTTCTAACCATCAGTTTTGTGAGATGCTAAATTCAAAATGTATTGTAGATATTTTTTCAAAAGACTATTCAGTTATGTGGGACAAGGAAGAAGAACCTACTGCTTGGAGGTGAGAATGGGGATCTTGCTCAGGGACCACAGCCCAGGCTCAGGAGCATCAGAAAGCCCAGTGCTTCTGCCCATCCCTCACCAAGAGGCAGTGGCTGCCCAAGTGCCTCAAGACATTGGAAAAACTATCCAGTATATTTTGATAATAGCATAATTCCCAGAGATGTTTGGACCAGCCTGGGACTGGCTCCCTCACAGCCTTATCCACCACCACATTAGAGCTGTTTGTGGTCCAGCAGATTAATTTGAAGAGAATGGATCTCTCTGGGGCAGGTTCCTGCTAAAGTGTCCAAAAAGGAAGCAGTAAGGTCTCCCTGGCCTCCCCCAAGACCCCTTTGGCTCAGATAATCCAGAGTCCTGACCCAGGGAAGGGAACTTCCCAAATTTTCCAGTTAGACAAGTCTTCTATCTGCACTTGTGTGTGCCCACATATAAACAGGGAGTGAAGGGGCGGGCCGGTGCTGTGGCATAGCAGGTGGGGCCACCGCCTGCAGTGCTGGCATCCCATGTGGGCAACGGTTTGAGTCCTGGCTGCTCCACTTCCAATCCAGCTCTCTAATGTGGCCTAGAAGGGTAGTGGAGGATGGTCTCGGTCTTTGGGCCCCGTGCCTACATGGAAGACCTGGAGGAGGCTCCTGGCTCCTGGCTCCTGGCTTTGGATTGGCACTGCTCCAGCCGTTGCAGCCATTGGGGAGTAAACCAGCAGATGGAAGACCAACCGACCTCTCTCTGCCTCTCTGTAGCTCTGCCTTTCAAATAAGTAAATTAAACAAATAAATAAAATAAGCAAGGAGTGAAAATCTAAGGTTAGATCAAGGAGAGCCATTGTTGCGTGTCTGGCCACCATGCCCATATTTCTCAATGAGAGTCTTTGAACCAGTCATATTTTATTTTTAACAGAGGTTTCTTCTCAGGCCAGCCTATTTAATTTTTTTTTTTTTTTTTTTGCCTCTTCCAGCCCCATTGTATTCAGGTAATGACTTTTGTTTATGATTTCAGTGGAAGTCAAATAAGCCTGGTGACAAAGATTCCAAGCTGTAGAATCACACAGACCCAACCCCAGCGTGGCTGGGCCTCTTATAGGCTGGCTAACCTTTAGCACATTAATTCCCCTTTCTGAATCTGTTTCCACGAAGATTAAGAAAAAGGGGGGGAGGGGAGAGAAAGCTTTGCAAGTAGGTCAAATTTAGTAGTGCAAAAATATATGTAAAGTATTTAACATACAAGAGGGAAAGCTAATACATAATAAAGGTTATTACTAACAATAAAAGTACAATAACTCATTAGTAGTTCCTTTCTTACGGCTATGGTCAGACACCTCAATAGATATAAGGTTTTAGAACATGATTATGAAAAATTACTCATGTTTATCATTTTATAACCGAATGGTAATTATAATACATAGTGGACAAAAAATGAAACCCAGTGTCAGTGAAAGGCTTTGGGTTGTTCTTACTTCCGATTATAAGACCCAATTTCTGTCTGTCCCTATCAGGTTTATAATTGGAGATTTGCTGGATTCAGAAAATGATATCTTTGAGCAGCCCAAGGACTGTGACTCGCACGGATCTGAGGAGTCGCAGAAGGCCTTTGATCATGGGACAGAGCTCATCCCATGGTATGTGCTGTCCATCCAAGCTGATGTGCACCAGTTCCTGCTGCAGGGGGCCACGGTCATCCACTACGACCAGGACACACACCTATCTGCCCGCTGCTTCCTCCAGCTTCAGCCTGACAATAGCACCTTGACCTGGATAAAGCCCACCACTGCCTCCCCAGCCAGCACTAAAGCAAAACTTGGTATGCTTAGTAACACAACCGAGCCTGGCAAATTCCCGTTACTGGGCAATGCTGGATTAAATGGCCTAGCGGAGGGGGTCTTGGATCTGTTTTCAGTGAAGGCTGTGTACATGGGACACCCTGGCATTGATATACACACTGTGTGTGTTCAGAACAAACTGAGTAGCATGTTTCTGTCTGAGACCGGTGTGACACTGCTCTATGGGCTTCAGACCACAGACAATAGATTATTGCACTTTGTGGCACCAAAGCACACAGCTAAAATGCTCTTCAGTGGATTGTTGGAACTCACTAAAGCTGTGAGAAAGATGAGGAAGTTCCCCGACCAAAGACAGCAGTGGCTGCGGAAACAGTATGTCAGCCTCTACCAGGTAAGGGATGTGGCCCTCTCTCTCTCCTCAGTCGTGTGATTCTTGGGTGCATACAGATGGCAATGAAACCACCAGGTTCCTGTCCCAGCTCTGCCACTTACCCCCTGAGTGACTTTGGACAGCTTTTACTTAAGCTCTTGGTGCCATTGTCCCCCTGTCTATAAACGGTAAATAGTAACACCTGTTTATAAGGTACCTGTGAGAATTAACTGAGTGAATGTCTGTGAAACCACAGTGTGAATTCAGATGTGCAAGGAATGGTGTCTGCCCATAGTAGGTCCTGTTATTATTTCATGTGAAATTAGTGACTGTGGTCATTGTAGTTCTCTGGAAAGAAACCAGTTAATAGAGATATTTTCACTTACCAGAGGTTTCAGCTGGAAGTATTGTAATATGGAATGTTTTATTATTAATTCATGACTAATGGATGCCTTGGAAAATTTCCCTTTGGGAATTGAATCCTGATTTATCACCTAACATGCTATGTGACTCTTGGAGAGATGTAGCTAACTTATGTTGCTGCATATTTGTAGAACTTTTAAGGGTCAAAGAAACCATTCCAAATATGGGCTAATTCTTAGATGGCATTCTGCCTTACCAGGTTCCTGGCAGCAGCAGCCATTAGCAGGCAGGTTTTCACAGTCAGCTACTAAAATTGAGTGAGTTTCTCATAAATGCTAGGTTATCAGATGCTTTACCACTGCAGCTAAGGGGGAGGACAGGGCTGAGCTAAATGGGATGGTGAGAAGAGACTTGGGCATAGCCAGAGTAGCAGGCTTGCCATGGGACGTGGGTATGGTTTGCTTGGAATTGCATCATGAAAGCTGCCCCAGGTGACAGTTAAAATGGCATTGTCAAGTGAATTGTGTCAGTGCATTCAGCTTTTGTTACACTTCTCTATCTTCATGGGAAAATATTATGTTTTTTATTAGTGTCACAGAACAGATAGCACTATGACTTTTATTATTCAAATGACAGATGCAGTTCTAACATGTTTCTGACAATTAAAAACATTTTTTACCCAAGGAAGTTAGTAGCAGTACATTTTTTAAAAAAGATTTATTTATTTATTTGAAAGTCAGAGTTATACAGAGAGAGATCTTCCATCTGATGGTTCACTCCCGATATGGCCACAACAGCTGGAGCTGCGCCAATCAGGAGCTGTGGGGAGCAATCCGGACTGGACTGAGTTACTGGAATTAAGACTTATTCTATGCATCTGCTCTCCCACAATATGGCGCTGGGAGAGAAGTAAACAGCTTCCGCACAGCTGCCTCCAGTTCAACTAATAAACTGTAGGACTTGCTCCTGATTGGAGGAGAGCAGCGTACTCGGCGTGTGGGCAGCCGAGTTAGGATTGGCGGAGGAGGACTATAAAGGAGGAGAGAGACGGCATGCACCAGGAACATCTAAGGGGAACATCTAAGGGGAACACCTGTGCAGCCCCCCCAGAAAGCCGGCCGGCGGTGTGCCGCTCCCCTGCGGAAGTGGGGAATGTGGCCAGGGGGAACTGCCCTTCCACGGAGGTGGAAGGGATAGTAGCCAACCCGGGAAGAACCAGCAGCAAACCCGGGGAGGGCCGAGCAGACGAAAGAACAGCGCAGGGTCCTGTGTCGTTCCTCCACAAAGAGGGGGAGCGACAAGGAGCCAGGATCCAGGAACCAGGAGCTTCTTCCGGATCTCCCACATGGATGCAGGAGCCCAAGGACTTAGGCCATCTTCTACTGCTTTCCCAGTAGCAGAGAGCTGGACAGGAAGTGGAGCAGCCAGATCTCAAACTGGCGCCCATATGGGAAACCGGTGCTTCAAGCCAGGGAGTTAACCCGCTGCGCCACAGCGCCGGCCCCAGTAGCAGTACATTTAATACTCCTTTTTCTCCTTTCTCCCCGTACCATATTGAGTATGAGTAGAGCTCAGATCCTGAGTAACCAGTTTGATCAATTAATTCATTAATAATCAAATAGGCCTATGGACATGGTTATAGTGATGCTACATAGCACAGAGCCAGTTTTAGTTAACTCATCTGAAATGGAAACCACAACATCTCTACTCATGTACTCCAGAGTGCTTTCAGCACAGCTAGTGACTGAGAAAAACATCTTCGGGAGCCATTATGAATATTGATTTTTAATTCTGATTATTTCTCAGCCTTCTAAATTCAGGAACACCCACCAAACATGGACCTCAATCATATTCCCTGTCACTAGGCCTGACTGATTTCGTTGCTCCATGTGTGTAGCCTAAGTAACTGAATTCATAGGTGAGGGTGGTTCAGAAGCTTCGTGGAAATGGAATGAAAAGTTCCAAGAAACTGCATAACTGTTTCATAAAACGCACTTTCCAGGGACATTTTGAAGACCTGTCATGTTGTGGATTTCTCTAGAAAAGACTTGGCCCTGCCCAGCTGCACTCACAGCCCCAGCCCTCCCCTCTACCCCTGCCAAGCAGCTCCATATGTCAGTCGCTTCTGAAAACATAGATTCTACCTGAGCCGTGTACAAAGACAGGCTGCAGGCCTTTCAAATAGACGCCCAGATTTCTTTCAAAACACAACAGTGCAGGAGGACAGTGATCATTTTCTCACCCTAGAGACCAGTTCCCAGAGTGTTACAAGGAGCACCGAAAAGATGCTAATCTGGTCCTCAGACACGCAGGTTCATATCGATCTTTTGTTAATGTTAAAAGCTGTTCCTGGTGACTTGTACAACGTTAGCATGTTAAATGCTCCACCCTGCCCTAGAATGCACACATTTAAGTTTATCTGTAAGTTTCAGGGATTTGTGAGATGTCTTTTTGGTTTTTCCAAACTTCTGTTGACAGCCCTCTAAAGATATTCCTTTATTGCCAATTTGAGAAGTGCTTGTGTAGAAAATCACCCTTCTGATATGGGAGTTGTGTTGGAAATGTATAGGAAGTTACTTCGAAGTACTACAGGTATTTTAGTACTATAAGTGAAATTTGATTTGATGAACACAGTAGTAGGACATAACACAAAAGATATGAATAACTAGTAACATTGATAGCGAAGCTTAGGAAAAAATACAGGAAAATCAGAAACTAAACTACGGAGATGCTGTCATTGGGTACAGAGGAAAAACAGATATCAAGAGCTTTGGCTTGGCGCGACCGATGGCAGGGCTGAGGACCCATAATCTTGGGTGTTTAGAAGGGACTCTAGGAAGCTGAGAAGGTTGAAAATAGAATTACCAGGTAGATGGCTTTCGTTATAAGGAACAGAAATAGGTTCTGGCTGTCTTCAAAAAGGAAAGAAAGTATTTGTTCAAAGGATGGGGATTAGTTTTAAGTCTTCAAAAGCAGCATACGTAAGGATGTACCAAGAGGTAAAAGTACATGAATTTTTATTTTATTTCTTTTTTTTTTTTTTTTTGACAGGCATAGTTAGACAGTGAGAGAGAGAGAGAGAGACAGAAAAAAGGTCTTCCTTTTGTTGGTTCACCCCCCAAATGGCCGCTATGGCCGGCACTGCGTTGATCCGAAGCCAGGAGCCAGGTGCTTCCTCCTGGTCTCCCGTGCGGGGTGCAGGGCCTAAGCACTTGGGCCATCCTTCACTGCCTTCCTGGGCCACAGCAGAGAGCTGGACTGGAAGAGGGGCAACCGGGACAGAACCGGCGCTCCAACTGGGACTAGAACCCGGAGTGCTGGCACCGCAGGCAGAGGATTAGCCTAGTGAGCTGCAACGCCAGCCTTATTTCACTTTCTATTAAGGCAGAGAGAGAGAGAGAGTGATCTCTCTTCTACCAGTTCACTGCCTAAACACCCACAACAGCCAAGTTTAGGCCAGGCTGAAGCCAGGAGCTTCAAACTCAGTCCAGGTCTCCTCTGTGGGTGGCAGGCACACACATACTTGCACCATCACCTGCTGTCCTCCAAGGTCAGAAAACTGGAATCAAGAGCAGAACCAGGGGCTGGCGTCATGGCTCACTTGGTTAATCCTCCACCTGTGGCACCAGTATCCCTTATGGGTGCTGGTTCTAGGCCCAGTTGCTCCTCTTCCATTCCCACTCTCTGCTGTGGCCCGGGAGTACAGTGGAGGATGGCCCAAGAGCTTGGGCTCCTGCACCCACAATGGAGACCAGGAAGAAGTACCTGGCCCCTGGCTTTGGATCGGAATAGCTCCGGCTGTAGTGGCCATTTGGGGGGTGAACCAATGGAAGGAAGACCTTTCTCTCTGTCTCTCTTTCTCACTGTCTAATTCTATCTGTCAAAAAAAAAAAAAAAAAAAAAAAAAAAAAAAACAGAACCAGAACTTGAACACAGGCATTCCAGTATGAGATGTGGGTGTCCCAAGTAGCATCTTCACCAAATGCCCATTTTCTTGGGTACCTTTTAAGAAATTGATTTCCTTATGTACTGTTTCATAGAAGAATGTGCCCTCACTCAACATGGTCCTTCTCCTACATTAAAAAGAAGGTATGAGGGTACTTTAAAAAGTGTGTGGAGAAATGAATTTAAAGATAAGTTTAAGGATGGTCATTTGGCCTAATGCCAAGGATGCCCATGTGCTGTATCAGAGTGCCTGGGTTCAGTTCCTAGCTGTGGCTTCTGATTCCAGCTTCCTGCTAATGCAGACCCTGGGAGACAATGATCATGGCTCAAGAAGTTGGGTCCCTGCCACTCATGTGGGAGTCCTAGATTCAGTTCCTGGCTCCAGGCTTTACACTGCCCCCACCATGCCCCCAGAAACGCAGGCATTTGAGGACTGAACCATCAGAGAAGTGTTTTCTCTCTCTCCCTCTCTCTCCTTCTCTCTCCCTCCTCCTCTCTCCCTCCCCTTCTCTCCCTTTCAAATAGATGTTTAAAAATGAATTTAGGGGGCCTGTTCTGTGGTGTAGTGGTTAAAGCTGCCACCTGCAGTGCCCCCATCCCATATGGGCTCCAGTTTGATTCCCAGCTGCTCTACTTCCAATCCAACTCTCTACCATGACCTGGGAAAGCAATGGAAGATGGCCCAAGTCCTTGGGCCCCTGCACCCACATGGGAGAACCAGGGAAAGCTCCTGGCTTCAGATCAGCCCAGCTTGCTCTCTCTCTCTCTCTCTCCCTCCCTCCCTCTCTCTCTTTCTCTCTCTCTGTTTCTTTCTCTTTTTCTCTCTTTCTCCCCTCCCTCCCTCCCTCTCTGCTGCTGCCTCTGCCTCTGTCTCTCTGTAACTCTGCCTTTCAAATAAAATAAATAAATCTTTTAAAAAATGAATTTAGGGCCTGACATTGTGGCATAGCAGGTTAAGCCTCAGCCTGCGAAGCCAGCATCCCATATGGGGTTCAGTTTGAATCCTGGCTGTTCCACTTCTGATCCAGCACCCTACAATGGCCTGGGAAAGCAGCAGAAGATGGCCCAAGTTCTTGGGTCCCTGTTACCCAGGAAGAAGGAGACCCAGAAGAAAGTCCTGGCTCCTGGCTTCAGCCTGGTCCAGCCCTGGCTGTTGTAGCCATTTTGGAAGTGAACCAGCAGATGGAAGATTCATTCTCATTCTCTCTCCCCCACCCAACCCCATAACTCTGATTTTCAAATAAATAAATTTTTAAATGAATTTTAAAAATAAGTTTATGGAAAAAATTTTAAATCCATGCATTTTTTCATAAAGTTTCCATAAACTTCATGAAGATCCCTCCTATATCCTTCACCCTCCCCAAGCAAGTTTATTGTCTTGTGTAAAACAAAAGAAAGATTCAAGCTACGTTAGTTCCCAGAAAGCCTTGTGTTTTTTTAAGATGTATTTATTTATTTGAAAGGCAGAGCTACAGAGAGGCAGAGGCAGAGGAAGAGAGAGAGAGAAAAGGGAGGGGGTCCCCCATCCTCTGGTTCACTCCCCAGATGGCTGCAATGGCCGAAACTGGGCTGATCCAAAGCCAGGAGCCCCCTCCAGGTCTCCCACATGGTGCAGGGGCCCATCTTCCACTGCTTTCCAGGCCATAGCAGGGAGCTGGATTGGAAGGGGAGCAGCTGGGGCCTGAACTGGCGCCCATATGGGATGCCACAGACGGTGGCACTACTAGCGGCAGCCTTACCCACTATGCCACAGTGCCAGCCCCAGAAAGCGTTGTTAAAACATTAGACAAATGCATCCTAGCTTTTCTTGGCCCAATCTGAATTCTGTTAAGGTTAATACTTTGTCCATGTTGGGATTTTCTGAAATTTGGAAAATCTAAGCAGTAGAAGGTAATGGTGGTGGTGTTTTTTATATGTGAGATATAATGGATCTATTACATTTTCAAAGATATGTTGGTTAGAAGTCTGTAAGTAAATGTTTACAAGCTTTTTTTTAGATTCAGAATGATATTCAATAAGGTATGTGAACCCTGTTTATTCAATGATATCATGCAATGCTTATTCTAGTTTATTCTGTTATTCTAGTCACTTAGCAGGCCTTTTTCCACAGTCCTGCATTAGGTGGATTGGTCTCTAGCTATGTTCACTGTCTGTATCACTACTTTCAAGAATCTTCCTCCAGGGAAAGAGGTTCCAACTAGCTTATTCTGATCATGTGCCAATCATTGGTCAAGGGATGATAGTCAACCTTGACTGACAGTCCCACTGACAGTAAACCCTGTGGGGAAAAGATAAAAGTAAAAGTGGGTGTGGTGGCCAGTGCCGCGGCTCACTAGGCTAATCCTACAGCACCGGCACCCCGGGTTCTAGTCCCGGTTGGGGCGCCGGATTCTGTCCTGGTTGCTCCTCTTCCAGGCCAGCTCTCTGCTGTGGCCTAGGAGGGCGGTGGAGGATGCCCCAGGTCCTTGGGCCCTGCACCCGCATGGGAGACCAGGAGGAAGCACCTGGCTTCTGGCTTTGGATTGGCGCAGCGCGCCAGCTGTAGCACCATTTGGGGAGTGAACCAACGGAAGGAAGACCTTTTTCTCTCTCTCTCTCTCTGTCTAACTCTGCCTGTCCAAAAAAAAAAAAGTGGGTGTGGTTAGAGAATTGAGAAATATGTAATGGATGGGCATCAGTCACAGACATGCTACTAGAGGAGGTTACCCAAAGGTTTCCATGTCAAATACCCAAGTTGACATTCTTGGGCTTTAGTCACAGGTCAAGTCACTGAAGATTAGGATGAAGGAAGAAGCCTCTCTACTATTTACCTGTTATCTGCAAGGAAGCAAAATCTATTTACAGGTACTTCCTTGGAATTGCAAAGGAAGACTACCTCTAAAAGTTTTCAGGAAGTAAAGGCAGTCAGTAGAAATTAATTTTAAAGAAGCCCTTTTGTAAAATTGTGAAATCTCATTAATATTATCTGTAGTTCAAACACCACTGTTTTTTTTTTTAACCTAGAAACCTTTTATTTAAGGCATACAAACTTCATGCATTTCATATATACAAATTTAGGAACATAGTGATTCTCCCTCCTGCCCAAACTCCCACCCTCTTCCTCCTCTCTATTGTATTCCTATTCTTATTTTTTTTTTACAAATATTTGTTTTCTGTTAACTTTATACTCATAATATTGACCCTACACTAGGTAAAGAGTTCAACAAATAGTATGAAAAAAGAAAAAAACTGTTCCTTAACAGTTGAGACAAGGGCTGTTCAGAATCATCACATTTCAAAGTGTCAATTTCACTTTTATAGATTGCCTTTTAGGTATTCTATTAGCTACCATAGACATATGATATTTGTCTTCTTGGGACTGGCTTACCTCACTAAGTAGAATTGTTTCCAGTTGCATCTGTTTTGTTGCCAATGACAGGATTTCACTTTTTTTTTTTTTACTGCTGTGTAGTATTCTATAGTGTACATATACCATACTTTCCCTATCCAGTCTTCAGTTGATGGACATTTGCATGTGCCACTGTCTATAGTTCTGTTTGCTGACTTTCATGACTTATGGGGGAAAATCATTGACCATTATTTAATAAGTAAATATCTACTATTATTCACTCAAAGAATGCTACACAGTTGTCTTATGCAGTAGTGATTACAAACCATTGCCTGCCCATTGAGTTGTATTTTAGCTGATCAGAGCATAATACGCATGACATTCTGAGTCCCATGGGTTCTGTATCTATCTTTGGATTTCAGTCACTCAAAAGGATGGCAGCTCAACTATTTAAGGAGCTCCTCAGGACCCTCCGAAGTGAATTTCATGTATGCCACACACCCTATCTGAGTATTTCAAGTCAGACACAAGCATCAAAGTAGGTAAAAATCTACCTGGAATGATACAATAGCATACAAGTGGAACTTGATTTTACTTAAATAGATTCCCACCCTAACTCCCACCCCCAAGACATCCACAGCTCTAATTTTGTAAGTAAGTCTTAATGAATTTTCCAATGGTATAGGTTCTGGAATACAATCTCTGTGACTGGGATGAGAATTTTTTCCCCTGTTGATGTTTTTAAAGCACATCACTGGAACTCAGTAGAGATGTGACCAGGACAGCAGGGGACAGAGGACAATGAAATTCCCAACAGAGATTCTTGAAAGTTGGTGAACAGAGCCCCTTGGGTGACCAGACCATTACTCTTCTGTGGCTGCCTGCAGACTTTCATCTGAGAGTTTACTGGAAGCCGTTAATGTATTGCCTTCTTCATTGCTTGCTGCTTCCTTGTGTGTTCAGCAGGTGGTTCTTTTACAGGAGGATGGGCGATATGAAGGCCCAACATTGGCTCATGCTGTGGAGTTGTTTGGTGGCAGGCGGTGGAGTACTCGAAACCCCAGCCCTGGGACATCAGCAAAGAATGCCGAGAAGCCTAATGTACAGAGAAACAACACCCTGGGCATAAGCACCACCAAGAAGAAGAAGAAAATGCTTATGAGGGTACTGTGTGATTTGTTTATTGAGTACCACACCCAATCTTCAGGATTGTTGTACAGTCTACACCAGCAGAAATCTCCTTAAGTCATTTGGGTTGGGCACAAGATGAGACATAAAACAAATGTTGCAAGGGTTTCCATGTACCTGTTGGGTACCAGAACCAGTGCCAGGAATTGAGTCAATAGCAGGGAAAAGACACAGACAAGGAAACACAGTGCAGTCTAAATGAGAGTCCTTGTCACCTGCAAAGTGCTCTGGGACAGACAGGGGGAAAGTAGAAGACTGAAAGGCAGGCAGGAATGGCTTCATAGAGCCAAGGACAGATGAAGATCTCAGATGGCCACAATGCTGTATGTAGAATATAATTTAAAATATATCATCCCTGTCCTTTATAAAGCATGTTATATATGTCATCACTGTAACATGGCAATATATTTGCTTCAAGCTACCTAAGAAAAGGCGTATGGAAGCCTATTGATGCTAAAGTTGAACTTTATCTGCTTCATAATTCTGTGTGAGCACAGATTGCAGGAGTTGTGTGCCTCTTCTTGTCTGCCTCCTCCTAAGGAGCGCTGCTTCATTGAGAAGAACAAGTGAGATAAAGTGACGTGAGAATACTTGGTCACCTTCTTGAAGGTCTTCACTGGTCTCACCAAGGGGAGACGGTATTGTCGGTAGATGGGTCAAAAAATAGAGATCTACCTGAACTAGAGCAGTGATGGGAAAGCAATGCAGGCTGGGAACTGTGGGGAGCAACTGAGACTAGACTAAGTTACTGGAATTAAGACTTATTCTATGCATCTGCTCTCCCACAATATGGCGCTGAGAGAGAGACCAAACAACTTCTACACAGCTGCCTCCAGTTCGACCAATAACCTGCAGGAGCTGATCCTGCTCCTGATTGGAGGAGAGCAGCGTACTCGGCGTGTGGGTAGCAGAGTTGGGATTGGAAGAGGACTCTAAAGGAGGAGAGAGACAACATGCACCAGGAACATCTGAGGGAACATCTGAAGGAACACCTGAGCAGCCCCCGAGAGCCGGCCGGCGGTGTGCCACTCCCCCACGGAAGTGGGGAAAGTGGCAGGGGGAACCGCCCCTCCACGGAGGTGGAGGGGTCGGCAGCCAACCCGGGAAGGACCAGCAGCAAACCCGGGAAGGGCCGAGCAGACAAAAGAACAGCGCAGGGTCCTGTGTCGTTCCTCCGCGAATGGGGGAGTGACAGGAACCATCATGAGTTTTGTGTTCCCAGGGTGAGAGTGGAGATGCAACAGATGACGAAATGGTGACCCGAAAGGGCAAGATGTACAAAGAGTGTCGAAGCCGCAGCGGTTCGGATCCTCAAGACATTAATGAACAGGAGGAACCAGGTGAAGCAGCATGGTCACATCTCAGAGTTTTTCTTTTCTTTTCTTTTTTTTTAATTTTATTGGGAAAAATTACCCATTTGGCTCTTCATTGTGGTTTAAATATTGTGGACATTCTTATATAAATTGACTTTGTTTTAGCCAGATGGTGAAACCGAAGACACACTTCTGCAAGCCTGATGTGCTTGGCAGAAAATTCTCATAAATGAACTTTCTGTTACTGACAGGAGGTAGTAGGTGCACACGGTCCAATCTGGTGGATTAGATCAGCAAGTTTCTACCCTTGCTTGATATTAGAGCTTTTAAAAAAATAATCTGACCACACACAAGATCAACTGGCTTAGGCATTCCGTGTCTGGGACCTGGGCGTCCATGTTTTCGAAGCTCCCTGGATGATTCTGATGTGTAGCCAGTTGAGAACCTACCAGATTGGCCCATTCATAAAAATGCTCTCACGACTCTTGTCTAGGTTGGTTGGCTCAGAGAGCATCCTTGGTTGTTTTGATTTCTGAGTGAAAGTACAGTGTGAGTCATTGTTTCTTTTCTCTCTTTCATCCTCACAGAGGCAAATGCCATCTCCAGTCCTCCCAACCCCCTCCCTTCCAGAAGAGCCCACTCTTTGACCACGGCTGCGTCCCCCAACTTGGCTGCCGGGACGTCGTCTCCCATCAGGCCAGTGTCCTCCCCTGTGCTGTCTTCTTCAAACAAGAGCCCGTCCAGGTGGGGCCTTAACATGACAAAGCAGGAGGGCCCTTATGTCATTCCAGTCACATGGAAGGGCCTGTTCTCAGCTGTCTATCAAAACACTCTCTGTAATTTTGACTTACAGTGAAACTGAAGACCAAAACCCCCAACTTTTTAAATAACCCTAATATTCCTGTTTTTATATCCCTGCCTTCCCGTATAACTGTAATTGCTGCTGAGTATTAGAAAAACCAACCTTTCAATGGTCAGCAGCAGTAACAAAACCCAAACGTGATTGTCTAAATCTGCACTGTCCAGTATGTTACCCACTGACTGCATGTGGATATTTAAATTCTAATTTAAATTCATTAAAACTCAATTAAAGCTCAGTTCTTCACTCACAGTAGCCCCTTTTCATGTGCTGCACAGCCACGAGGGGCTCCCTGTCAGTCACTACACCACACAAGGCAGATAGTGTACATTTCTAACACTGCAAAAAGTTTTATTGGATAGCACTGCTTTCGAGAATTTTTTTAAGATTTGATTTGTTTGAAAGGCAGATTTATAGGGATACAGAGAGAGAGAGAGAGAGATCTTCCCTCGTATGGTGCATTCCCCAAATGGCTGCAGCAGCCAGGGCTGGACCAGGCCCAAGCCAGGAGTCTGGAACTCCATCTCAGTCTCCCACACGCATCATCTTCTGCTTTCCCAGGAGCAGTAGCAGAATGCTAAATTGGACACAGAACAGCCAGAACTTGAACCTGCACCCATGTGTGTTTCTGGCTTTGCAGGCGGCAGCTTAACCCACTGTACCACAACCAGCCCCTGCTTGCAGATAAGTTTGACATGCCTGAAAAAATAAATACAGGCATTACAACAAGTCTATTACATTTCATTATAATTCTAAAACTGATATTATAATAAATTATTTTTAGAAATTCCATGTAAGTTACAGATTTGAAATATCTACCCTCTCAGAAGAAAAGCTAATAGTAAAATGGAAGCCTTCTGGGCTGGCACTGTGGCGTAGCGGTAAAGACACCGCCTACAGTGCTAGCATCCCATATGGGCGTCGGTTTGAGTCCCAGCTGCTCCACTTCTGATCCAGCTCTCTTCTATGGCCTGGAAAACTAGCAGAAGATGGCCCAGGTCCTTGGGTCCCTGCACCTGCATGGGAGACCTGGAGGAAGCTCCTGGCTCTCAGCTTAGATTGGCGCAGTTCCAACTGTTGTGGCCAATTGGGGAGTGAACCAGTGGATGGAAGACTTCTCTCTGTCTCTCTCTGCCTCTCCTCTCTTTTGTGTAACTCTGACTTTCAAATAAATAAATAAATCTTTAAAAAAAAAAAAAGGAAAGCAAGCAAGCCTTCCAGAAGGAACCTAAATGTCCCTCGACTTCCCTGTATTCCATATTACATTGAGGAAACTTGGAGGTTCCAGGCAGAACTAAGATAAAACAGGTACTCTTTACTGCATCACACAGAGAAGTGGGGCCATCAGACCCTAACTTTGAAAACATTCATCTCCCTCCATATCTCTCTCTCTCTCTCCCTCTCTCTCTCTCTCTCACACACACACACACATACACACCCACACCCACACCCACACCCACACCCACAGAGCTCTTGTTCTCTCTGTCTCTTGGAAGTTCCCTATTGCTAAGAGAGCCTAAGTAAATTATGTTTTAAAGGGAACAATTCTGGGGCCAGTGCTGTGGTGTAGTGGGCTAAGCCTTTGCCTGCAGTGCTAGAATCCCATATAGGCTCTGGTTCATGTCCTAGCTGCTCCTCTTCTGGTCCAGCTCCCTGCTATGGCCTGGAAAAGCAGTAGAATATGACCCAAGTGCTTGGGACCCTGCATGCATGTGGGAGACCAGGAAGAAGCACCTGGCTCCTGGCTTCAGATCAGCCCAGCTCCGGCCATTACGGCCATCTGGGGAGCGACCCAGCAAATGGAGGACCTCTCTCTGTCTCCCCCTCTCTCTGTCTTTAACTCTGCCTCTCAAATAAATAGAATAATGTTTTTAGAAAAGAAAAATGAGCAATTATTTTCCATTGTGAGTGATGAACGTGTAATTTAAGATTTATGCATTCAGGTGTTACAACTGGTTAAAACTGTTCAAGGGTATATAGGAATTCTTTGTACCCTTCTTGCAACTTTTCTGTAAATCTAGATTTATAATTAAACAGTATGTTTATACAGATATGTTTTATGTATGTATATGTTATATTTTCAGCCTATTCAGTAACCTGGGGAAATAGCCAAATAACCTGGATTCAATGGCTTTTCCTTTTATTTGAGTCACTCAAGAGCAGGAAAGGGAAGGGCAGAGGAAGAGTTCTCTCTGAAAGAGAGCTATATGTGCCGGATGCAAGATTAGGGGGCCCAGCCTCTGCAGGACAGGGCTCAGTGGCCTCTCGAGCAGTGTTCTAAACGCTGAAGGGAAGACGAGGCAAGAGAAGAAAAGTCAGCCTGAGTGCTGTTAAAGGAGAAAGAGGACCAAGTCTCGGTAGCAGGGGGATGATTAGACAGTCCCTGGACTCAGAAGGGAACGGGTGCCTGCAGACACTAGCTGCACCTGCAGCACAAGGAAGACAGGGATTTACTCGCTGAAACGCAAAGGATCAAGCCACGTTTGTCCCCTTCCTGAGCCCCCACCCTGTTGTTTTCCACACCACTTTGGGGGATGAGCCACCTACAGCCTCTGCCTACACACTGCTAGAAATCCGACGATCCCTAAGACTTTCCATGAATGAAAGTGACCTCCATATGTCAACACAAATTGATTTCCCCTGAGGAAACATTATCAGCAGGATTGAGAGTAGTCTGGCTGTTCCTTATAACATTCTCTGTATTTTCTCATGTATTTGAAATATTGCCAAAAATTAATAAATCCAAGACCAAAAAGAAGATCTGGTTCATGATGTGACTAAAAAACAGTCACCATTTCTATACTGTGTATCCCATTGGGGAATCATGTAGAAAATTGAAAATGTTGAGAAGCAGTGAGACTGAGTTTTTGACTGGGTTGACTGATATTTTTATATTGAAGGGATGTAGTCTTAGCAGGTGCAAATAAAATCCTAGGCAGAGTTGGCCTGTTTCCATTGCTAATATTTTTCTGACTCACATTTTCCATTAATATGAAAAGCTCTTCCCTGTTTTTATCTAAAAACTAGTTAATAAAGGAAAAAGAAAAGACAGGGACATACCCAAAACTTTCTCCTAAAATGTATTTCTATAATTTAGAACATACGGAAGGACATTATTTCTTATAAATTATGATTGAATAATTTTGGACCCTTTTTAAAAAAGAAACTTTTTCAGAAACCCTGAATACCGCACCCCACGTTGATCTAGGATTTTAAAGAACTGTTCTGACTAGTAGAGGGGCATGAACCTCAGCTTTGTTCCCTTGCTGAATAGGCTGGACATGTGACATGGTCTCAACATATAATATGTTTTATTTCCTCTGACACAATAGAGATTATCTTAGAGAAAATAAAAAGAGTGCAGGAGACTAGCTTAAGCCTTGAATGACTTGCCACCCATCATTTTGCTCATGTTGCTGCTAATCAGCGAACAGTGTTGAGGCAGATGATACAAGTAGCCCAGCATTTTGCCCATGAAGGCCCTGTCTTTGTTTGCAGTGCTTGGAGCAGCAGCAGCTGGCATGGGCGGATCAAAGGAGGAATGAAGGGATTTCAGAGCTTCATGGTTTCAGACAGTAACATGAGTTTTGTTGAATTTGTTGAGCTGTTCAAATCGTTCAGGTATGGCATAACCTCCCTTCTTAGCCTTTCGCAAGCCCACAGGTTTATAATGATCCTAATGGGAGATGTTTTTGTTTCTTTGCTCAGTGTAAGGAGCCGCAAAGACCTGAAGGATCTCTTCGATGTGTACGCGGTGCCCTGCAACCGATCTGGCTCCGAGTCGGCCCCGCTCTACACCAACCTGACCATTGAGGAAAACACTAGCGACCTGCAGCCAGACCTAGGTTTGTTTAATGTTTTAGAATTGCCTTTTGAAATCCTTTCTACTAATGAAAGAGAACCAGTTACACAAACTCAAGCTGTCCCACGTGGCACACTGACCCCCAGAGGTGGTGAAACACTTGGAGAATTATTTCAAGGTATCACCTGGTGTCATGGGAGCAGGTGCTACTGGGATGTTGGGCAAGGAAATTCATCCGTGTATTCCTGGGTATTTAACCCTTCGTGGCCTCATCATCCTGACAACCGAAACCCTTTCTCAACCACTTCCAAACTAGGTGTGGTGTGTCACGGTTGAGAACCACAGTGTGCGGCCACCAGAACATTGGAATGTTACTGGTGGGAATGTTTTTTGGAAGGCTTATGACTTATGAAAACTAAACATACTTTCTCCATATGATCCAGCAGTCACACTTCTTGGTATTTACCCATTTGGGTTGAAAAATTTATACTCATGCAAAAACCTGTACAAAATGTTACAGTTACATTTTTAATAATATTTTCATTTATGAAGGAGACACAGCCAGAGCTCCCATCTGCTGATTTATTACCCCAAATGCCTGCAACAACCCAAGCAGGGCCAAGCTGAAGCCAGGAGCCAGGAAACTCAATCCAGGTCTCCTGTGTGGGTGGCAGCAACCCATGAACTTGAACCATCACCTGCTGCCTCCCATAGGAAGCTAGAATCGGGAGTAGAGCCAAGACAGGCACTGTGATATGTGATCCAGTGTCCTAGGCACCATCTTAACCACCATGCCAAATTCCCAGACCCACTGATTTGTTTCTTATTCTCTCAAATGTATGAAGCCAGGAATAAACCCGTAGTTTGGTAGCTTGTGTTGACAGATGAGTAACGAGCTTCTGTAGTATGGTATCTCTGAAATGAACTTTGTAGAAGGTGCCGGCTGGCTTGTGCATGTTCTCTGGGTGGCTCTGTTGCAGATTTGTTGACCAGAAATGTCTCGGATTTGGGATTGTTCATTAAGAGTAAGCAGCAACTGTCAGACAACCAGAGGCAGATCTCTGACGCCATTGCTGCTGCGAGTATCGTGACAAATGGCACTGGGATCGAGAGTACATCCCTGGGCATATTTGGGGTTGGAATTCTCCAGCTCAACGACTTCCTAGTGAATTGCCAAGGAGAACACTGCACGTACGATGACATCCTCAGCATCATCCAGGTTGGTACCTGTTTTCCCTGTGCGCGTGTGGCTGATGCTCCTAACTCTTAACAATTTGCTGCGACGTATTTATTGTTTTTTTCTATACTTCTTTTTTTTTTTTAATTTTTTTGACAGGCAGAGTGGACAGTGAGAGAGACAGAGAGAAAGGTCTTCCTTTTGCTGTTGGTTCACCCTCCAATGGCTGCCGCTGCCGGCGCACCACGCTGATCCGATGGCAGGAGCCAGGTGCTTCTCCTGGTCTCCCATGGGGTGCAGGGCCCAAGCACTTGGGCCATCCTCCACTGCACTCCCTGGCCACAGCAGAGAGCTGGCCTGGAAGAGGGGCAACCGGGACAAAATCCGGTGCCCCGACCGGGACTAGAACCTGATGTGCCGGCACCGCAAGGTGGAGGATTAGCCTAGTGAGCTGTGGTGCCGGCCTCTATACTTCTTTTCAAAACTCTCACCTGTGACAGAAATAAGAAATAAAAGGGGCTTTTTTTTTTAAGATTTATTTTATTTATTTGAAAGAGTTACAGAGAGAGGTAGAGATAGAGAAGTCTTCCATCCACTGGTTCACTCCCCAGATGGCTGCAATGGCCGGAGCTGTGCCGATCCAAAGCCAGGAGCCAGGAGCTTCTTCCGGTTCTCCCACCTGGGTACAGGGGCCCAAGGACTTGGGCCATCTTCTACTGCTATCCCAGGCCACAGCAGAGAGCTGGATTGGAAGACGAGCAGCCGGGACTAGAAATCGGCACCCATATGGGATGCTGGTACCTCAGGCCAGGGCTTTAACCTACTGTGCCACACCACCGGCCCCAAAAGGGGCTTTTTAAATGCTAAATATATGTATTCTTACTTATTGTATAATTAACATGTGTCCCAGGCAATGTCTGACTCAGTGACTAAGGAATCATTACCTAATTCCTTCTTATTCTTGCACAGGCAACATAATTAGTCTGGATTTTCTACCTCTTTTGTTATTTAACAAGTGGTTATTAGCCCCTATAATGCTGTCTCAGTTCCTGGAGCGGGGAAGAGAGTTGGGGAAAAGATCAGAGCTCTGTCCCTCAGTGCAGCTTATATTCCAGTGCTGAGACTGACAAGAAACAAGGATACGATATAATTGCAGGTGCTAGTGGGTTCTGAAAAGAACCAGGCAGAGGCTGGAGTCGTGGAGGAGGGCTGAGAGGAGTAAGCAAAGGCCACTCGGAGGAGCTGGCATCGGAGCTGGGCCCTGTTTAGTCCAAATGTCATGGAAAGGTCTGAGGAAAGCGCATCCCAGGCAGGGGGCAGCAGCTCCGAGGCTGGGCAGGCGCAGGCTGGGGAGCCACGGCAGAGCTAATGTCCTGGGGTCTGAGGAAGCCAGGTGGACTTGGTTCCACACAGGTGTGCCGGGACCCAGCCAGCCTGTGGTGGAGAGGTCGCCTTCAGTCCATGAGAAAGGAGAAGCCGTTGGGGTTTTCCGAGCGGGAGAGTCACATGATTTATGTTTCTAAGAGGTCACTCTGGCCCCACTGGAGAATAAACTGTGCTGGGGAAGGAGTGGGAGTCAGAGATCATTTAGGAGGTGGTGGTGGTGGCGGTTAGACCAGAGAGGGGCGGGGACGAGAGGCGGCGGGAGCGTCCCCTGTGGCTGGGTCACTTGCCGCAGAGGTACTCTTGGGCCTGATGGGGGACCAGTGGACGTGCTTTCCAACACTGGATTTGATCACCAGCCTTGCAACAATTGAGAGAACCAGCACAGTGCTGGGTGCTCCCTGTAGCGTCCCCGAGTGCTGGCACAGTCCTAAGTGCTCCCTGTCTCTGGGAGCTGCTATTATTATCCCCATTTTCACCTGGATAAACTGATTCCCTTTGTTTTCATATAAATCAGCCTTATTCTTTTCTCTTGCTCCTTTTTTTTCCTCTTAAATAAATAGGCTCAGTATAATAAACTCACATATAATAAATGTTTTCTTTTGGACTAAAAACTACATCTTACCATTACATTACTAAATTAGTTCAAATATTTGGTTTAGATGTTTCCTGATGAAAACAGAACAGCTTTAAAAAATGATGTGGTTTTTTTCCCCCCTCATGGTTTCCTTTACCTAAATTATACTTTTTTTTTTCTATCCCTTGCAGAAGTTCGAGCCTAGCATCAGTATGTGTCACCAAGGTCTAATGTCATTTGAAGGATTTGCGAGGTAATTTTGAAAATGTCTCTTGATCATCATTTAAAAGCATGTGTTTTTCCCACGTAGCTTAAGAACATTTGTTTCATCTAGGTTTCTGATGGATAAAGAGAATTTTGCCTCGAAAAATGATGAGTCACAGGAGAACATTAAAGAATTGCAGCTACCCCTGTCCTACTATTACATTGAGTCTTCACACAATACCTACCTCACAGGCCATCAGCTGAAAGGGGAGTCCTCAGTAGAACTCTACAGCCAGGTACCAAGAATGTCACTTGGAACATGGTTTTCATTAAGTTTCATTATTTACATAGCTGGCAAAGTCACAAAACCTGACCCCAGACTGCTTTGAAGGGTTTATATGTGACATGTGAGAAGCCATGATGTGTGGGAAAACTAGCTATACATCCAGCACTTGTTTTCTTTCTGCTTTTTGTTTGGTTTGGTTTCCTCCCCCATCTATACTTAACCTTTATTCTGGCGAAAAAAAAAAAAAAAAGGATTTGTTGGAGACTCATAGCTTTTAGATCCTAGTTAATCTGACCTACTTCTACTAAAATTAGATTTTCTCATGGGAAAATTATCTAATCGTTTCACAAAATGCTAAATAAATCAATACATTGTAGTGGGAAAGCATAGTAGAAAATGAAACTTTCTACAAAGATAATACCAAAATATAGTTTGTTTTGCTTTGCAATTTGTTAGACAATCAGTCCATCTCTATGGTAACCACCTTGAGAAAAAAGTCTGCACAGACTGTAGGCACTGTCCCTCGGCACTCAGATCCATGGGAATGTTCTTTGAAAGTCAGCAGGTTCTCTGGGCTGGGAAAAGCACATCCTTTTGACCTAAACGGCCAACTTTGAACAGTCTGCTGTCTGTTGCTGCTCTATTGTGTTGTCTGCAGCTTCCTCAGCTATGCTGCCTGTTTCCAGAACTCCTACAAGAAGGATTAATGAGGAAGGAGCTAGGCCAGGTCCACAGAGTGTATCAATGGGCCGTTATGTGCGTATGGGTCCAAGGTTGAAAATTATGGTTGTGTTGCTTACACAACTCTAGTAGCAATGAGATTTCTTTGTTCTCCAAATTTGTCCAGATAGTCCTCAAAGCATGGGACAAATTTTTGTCCCAAAGCTTATTTTACGTGGAATATATATTTTACATTTTTTAAAAAAAAGGCTTGTTTATTTATTTATTTGAAAGGCAGAGTTACAGAGAGGCAGAGGCAGAGATACAGAAAAGTCTTCCATCTGCTGGTTCACTCCCCAAATGACTGCAACAGCTGGAGCTGAGCCGATCCGAAGCTAGGAGCCAGGAGCTTCTTCCAGGTCTCCCGTGGGGTGCAGGGGCCTAAGGATTTGGGCCATCTTCTGGTTTCCCAGGCCTGAGCAGGGAGCTGGATTGGAAGTGGAGCAGCCGGGACTTGAATAGGTACCCATATGGGATGCCAGCACTGCAGGTGGAGGCTTTCCCCCGCTACACCACAGCACTGGCCCCCAGTTTTTTTTTAAAGATTCATTTATTTATTTGAAAGACAGAGTTACAGATAGAGGGAGGAGAGACAGATCTTCCATTTGCTGGTTCACTCTCCAGTTGGCTGCAATGGCCAGAGCTGAGCCCAATCCAAAGCTAGGAGCCAGGAGCTTCTTGTAGATCACCCTCGTGGGAGCAGGGCCCAAGCATCTGGGCCATCCTATGCTGCTTTCCCAGGCATGCCAGCAGGGAACTGGTTGGAAGTGGAGCAGCCAGGACTCAAACTGGTGCCCACATGGGATGCTGGCACTGCAGATGGTGGTTTTATCTGCTACACAACAGCACCAGGCCCTTAAATTGTTTTCTAAGGAACTTTTATTATTAAATGAAGATTTGTCCATGTAGTATGATTTTCAAAATAAGAGTGATATCCAGAGGCCTGAGATGGGCAAGCAACAGACTGCAACTGAATGGTTAGTTACTCTTTTACCTGGTTTACATATTGACATTTGCATGGAGAATTCCAACGTCAAAAGAAGTTTGAAAGCCATTGTCCTATGGGAAAGAAATGAGATGTGCATGTACACACGCGTACACACAGATACTATATATGTTTCATATATACATATATACATACATGTGTATATATACATATATTAAGTGCATACATGTGTGTCTGTATCTGCATACTTGTGTGTGTGTGTGCGTTTCCCAGAAAAGTGAGGCCCACTATCCTAGCTTTAATTCCTAATTTATTTCTCTGTTTGACTTCAAAGAGCTTTTCTTTTTTGAAGATTTACTTATTTATTTGAAAGTTAGAATTACAAAGAGAAATTTTCCATCCACTGATTCACTCTTCAAATGAGTAAAATGGCCAGGGGCTGGGCCAGGCTGAAGCCGGAAGTCAGGAGCTTCTCCCAGGTCTCCCACGTGGGTGCAGGGGCCCAAACATGTGGGCCATCTTCAGCTGCTTTCCCAGCCATTAGCAGGGAAAGAAATGGATTCAAAGTACAGCAGCCAGGCCAGGAACCAGTGCCCATCAGGGAATCTGGCATTGCAGGTGGTGGCCTAACCCACTACACCACAGTGCAGCGCCAGACTCTCAAAGAGTGTTTCAGCTCTCAAACCTCAAGTAGAAATTATCAGAACTTTTGAATACGGCACAGGAGCCCCTCCAGATGGCCTCACACAGGGCAGAGGCTGTGTGCAGGCCCCTTTTACCTCGTTTCTAACCGTTCTCTGCCCTCCTGTTTGCCTCCCGACTCTTCTCTGTGGGCAGATGGAAAGTGGGGGTAGGCTCTGTTCTCTTCACCAGGAATTTCCTAACCTTTTGCAGAGGTCTTCCAGTCATGCAGACGTCGATAAAAACCTGTGGTCTCTGCAGGCTGCAAAGCCTTCTAATCTGATGCCAGTCGCTGAACTTCCTACCCAGTCTGCTTGCCACAGCAGTGAAGCAGCCTCAGGTCCTGGGTGTCGTATTATATAGCAGTCTTCAGCCCAAGGCAGTAAATGAAGATACTTCTAAAAGGTCACAGAAAAACAGAATTAAAAAGATAAATTTATGTTGGTGCAAAAAATTTTGAAATCCATACATAATTCTTTCATAAAAAGCATCTGCAATGAACTTTGTAAAGACCCTACATACTTCTAGAATCAAGGGTGGAGAGCATTTTGCATAGCACCATATATGGCCCATGAAATCATTAGATCTGGCCCTGCCAAGGCAACCTCAGGTGAGGCTTGAAGTTCAATAAATCTGGGGCTGGCATTGTGGCACAGCGGGTAAAACTGCCGCCTATGAGGCTGGCATCCCTTATTGGCGCCAGTTTGAATCCCAACTTTTCCACTTCTGATCCAGCTCCCTGCTAATGTGCCTGGGAAAGCAGCAGAAGATAACCCAAGTGCTTGGGCCTCTGTACCCATGTAGGGGACCTGGAAGAAGCTCCTGACTTCTGCCTGGCCCAGCCTTGGCCATTGCAGCCATTTGGGAAGTGAACTAACGGATGGAAGATCTCTCTCTCTCTCTCTCTCTTTCTCTCTGTCTCCCTCTCTCTCTCTCTAACTCTGCTTTTCAAATAAGTAAATCTTTAAAAACAACAGCAGATAAATTCAATAAATCTATAGGGAACTAATTTTTAACTAGATAATATTGCATGGCCCGCAAATGTCATAAGTAATCTAAATGGCCCTTGGCAGAAAGAAGGTTCCTACCCCTTCTTTAGACACACTAGCTTCTGAAGGAACTGAGCCTTGGAACTGAAGGCCACAGATGATGCTATGTAATGGGAAGATTCTATTGTCTTATACCAAAATATTAAAATAAAAGGCATTCTACTGAGTTTTGTTCCAGAAACTCTAGTGGCCACTAGAGGCCCCTTAATGGATTGCTGTCACATGGAGATATTAGTAAAGAAGTGGATTCTGTGGGTCATCCCAGTCACTCTTGGTTTGGGCTACCCTTCCAGTATGTTATAATTTTTTGAGGTCGTCTACAGATAGAGTGTAAAAAGGAAGTGGATGCGCCATGCAAATCTCACAAGCTGTAACCTAAGCACATGTGTTTGGAGCACTGCTTCTGGTTTTAGATCCAGGATAGCAGATAGGTATCATCTCATCTGATTGTTGATACTTGATTCCTGGACCACTTTGCTGAAGAAGGTGTGTGATAACATATCAAAGCCTAGCACAGCATAAAGTGTGCTGTAATTGATTGCTGATGTCTGCACTGGGTGTGGGAGAAGGGAGTTTGGGTGATTTGCCCATCACTTTAGCTGCTGTTCTGGAATTAGCTAGCCAGGCAAATATTTGATAACTCTTTGCTTGTACTTTTGTTAGATGCTACGTGTTCTTAGCAAAGATCTTGGGTGTTAATGGAAGAAGTTTTGTCCAGGTTGGCATAATATAAATGTTTAGTCAGTTCATTAAGGAATTAGTGGCCTTGTTTGCTCTGGGGTGTGGCATTGGCACCTTTGCCTCTACTGACATCTTTGCAGATAGAGCGCCTACCTGGCTCTGTAATTTCAAGATGTACCATTTCCAGGGGATCAAAGTTGCTAAGAAAGTGGTCACATGTTTCTGCTATCAAACTTTGCCTTCCAGTAATCTTCAGCTCTGGTGAACACTCTTTCCTTCTCAATCTGTTCTCTCTCCCCTGCCCCAGATTCATGGTGGCCTTTGGCCAAAATGCAATGTTTGTGTTACATCTTATGCTCATCTGCTTAACACATGAATGTTGACACCAATGGATATATCAGACTGTGTTCTGTGTTTAGTTAGTGGCTTTATTTGCAGGTTCTCATCTGGGGTGAATTAATTTATTGATCATACAGGTCCTCTTGCAAGGCTGTAGGAGTGTAGAGTTGGACTGCTGGGATGGAGATGATGGGATGCCCATCATTTATCATGGACATACACTGACAACCAAGATCCCCTTCAAGGTAATGCTTCATAATGTTCTTGAAATCAAATCACAAGTAGAGCTTGTCTTCCTCTGTCATCTAAATCAGTGACTACCAAATTATGCCTTTTGTCAAGGGCTTTGATGCTGGATCTGAATGGAAACTTCCTGAAAGTGTATGCAGTATTGTATGGGATGTACATTTGTTAATTTGTCCAGGAGTTGATCTAGAACTCCTATTAAGTTCTCATTTAGCCAAAGTTTAGTAAGTATTACCTTATGTTAATTAGCACATAATGATATTGTTATCATTTTTATAGAATGTGATGATTTAGCTATATAAAGACAGAGACTGTTCTCTAGCTAAAGGAATTCAAGGTCATTTGTCCTGGTGTCCTGCTGACAAAGGCCAACATCATATGTTAGAGTGTGATTGAATAGTTAGCATTATAAAGTAGTCTCATGGGATCATTGTTTCAAATTCTGAGTATTTAGTGTATTACTAGGTTGTTATTTTATTCAGAGTCTTAGACTATGTGGCATGATTTTTCTCTGAACTGTGTTCAGGTGGGGAAGCAATATTGTTATTTTCATCTTATATGCAGAGATGGTGGTGGCTAAAATGTATTTTTCGCTTTAACTCTTAAAATGCCTGTACTCAATATTTGTGGGAGGATGAGTTGATAACTGCATTTACTTACACATTTAAGTAGATGTGGTATATGTTTTGTTGCCTAAAATAAAATCTAAACCCTTTGAAAGCAAGAAATTCTTATGTCTCATTGTGCTTAATGCCATAACTAAAACAGTATCTTTTACCTATAATATACCCAATAGATGATAGATTCATTAAACAAAGCAGTGATAGCTGTTCCTTATAGTATGTATGGAAGACTCAAAATGAATAGTTTAATGTCTTTTTACAAAATAGCCCTATCCTCATATTTAATTTGGAAAGACTAAAACTACCCTGGACCCAAGTCTGCTGCATGCAGCAGTCGAGAGGCTGTCTGTGTCTGTAAGTCCCTTACCTCCTGACCTCCCTGGACAGAGACGTAGACTCTGATGAGCTGTCTGACTCCCATAGGAAGTAGTTGAAGCCATTGATCGAAATGCTTTCATCACCTCTGACCTGCCGATCATCATATCAATTGAGAACCACTGTTCATTGCCTCAGCAACGAAAAATGGCCGAGATTTTCAAGGTGAGTGCTCAGCTGAGAAGCAGAGATGTAGCTTGGCCCTCGTCTCGTAATCATCATTGAATTTTATATTGGCCCACTATGGACCATGCCACAGCCAAACCTTGGCTGTGAAGCTTATATAGTTAAGGTCCCACAGGTCTGAGAAGTGGGGCTGTATTCGACCTTGGGCTCTCTCTTGAATGGTCCATCTTTTCAACTTGAGTGATATAAGCGTTGTTTTCTGGTCTCCTGACTCTTTCCAAAAAACTTCAGGAGATAAGGATAAGCAACCCTCCACCACTTCCCAATACCTCAGTCAGGGATGCCACAATCTCCCCTGTCAATTGTTTGAGGAAAAGCTGACAGTCTCAGAGCCAGTCAAAGCTTCTAGAGGCCCACACTAAAGCATGGGGATCTGAGTTAGCAAAGAGCTCAGACTGGCGTGAGTACAAGTGCGTTAGTCTATTTTCTGTTATAACAACGAAATATCAGGTTGTGTAATGTATAAAAGAAACAGGTCTATTTAGCTCAGTTTTGGAAGCTGAAAGTCTAAAATTGGGTGGCCTTTTCAGTCCAGCCTCAGGTGAGAACCCCATGACAGATGTCATCACAATGGTGGGAGTACATGCAGAAGAGATCACTTGGTAGGACGGGAAGGCAGAGTGACTCAGGGACCAACTGGGGTCCCGTGAGACCCACAGGAATGCCTTCTGATGGCAGTGCCCTAGGGACCTGACTACCTCACCCCAAGCCCCACCTTTGGAGGGTTCCACCATCTCTTAATAACTCCACATCGAGACCATACTTCTAACACATGAACTCTTGGGGGACAAACCACATCCAAGCCATAGCACAAAGATTTAGGAGTGGATATTCCATTAGACCATGGCCTTCCTCCAAATGCCGCAGGCATTTATGGAAACCTGGCTGTCAGTAGGAGGGAAGGACAATGACAAAGGAAATTGTACTGCAATGCTAATGCCAACAAACTAAGTAGACTTTCATATTGCCTTGTCTCAAGCATTGACTTTTGTTCTTTTTTTTTTAAACTAAAAAAAAAAAAAAAAACCACTAGAAACAGAAATTGCCATTTTTTCTGCCCTCTCCCCAAATGAATCACCCTGTGTCTACCCCCCTCCACCTGCATGCTCCACTGTGGAGACCAGTGCTCAGAATATTTGTGAGAATGGCGTCTGTGGTTTTCTATACTAGATGAGGACAAATTCTCCCTGTTTATATCTTTTTGACTCCTTATCCTCCTCTGTAATCTGCAAACTACAGCTTCTACCTGAATCTGTTTTCTTCTTCAATACATCAGACCCCAGAATCTTTTACTAAAGAGTTAACTCTGGCCTCACCTGCAGAATGACCTAGATTTCTCTCCTTGTCCTTCTAAACACCTCTCTTCTTTCTAATAAGAAACTGCAGAAAGTCTGGTGCTGTGGCGTAGTAGGTTAAGTCTCTGCCGGTGGCACCGGCATCCCACATGGGTGCCAGTTCGTGTCCTGGCTGCTCCTCTTCTGATCCAGCTCTCTGCTTATGGCCTGAGAAAGTAGTGGAAGATGGCCCAAGTGCATGGGCCCCTGTACCCTCATGGGAGACCCAGAAGCAGCTCCTGGCTCCTGGCTCCTGGTTTTGAATTGACACAGCTCCAGCCATTGGGGCTATCTGGGGAGTGAACCAGCAGATGAAAGACCTTTATCTCTGTCTCTCTTCTCCCTGTAACTCTGCCTCTCAAATAAATAAAGAAAGAAGGAAGGAAGGAACTGCAGAGCAGGAAAAAGACAACTCCTTTCCTAGTCCTCTTCCTTGGGTTTTTAAAATGAATCATCCAGGCCGGCACCGCGGCTCACTAGGCTAATCCTCCGCCTTGCAGCGCTGGCACACCGGGGTCTAGTCCCAGTCGGGGCGCCGGATTCTGTCCCGGTTGCCCCTCTTCCAGGCCAGCTCTCTGCTGTGGCCAGGGAGTGCAGTGGAGGATGGCCCAAGTGCTTGGGCCCTGCACCCCATGGGAGACCAGGATAAGTACCTGGCTCCTGCCATCGGATCAGCGCGGTGTGCCGGCCGCAGTGCGCTGGCCGCGGCGGCCATTGGAGGGTGAACCAATGGCAAAAGGAAGACCTTTCTCTCTGTCTCTCTCTCTCACTGTCCACTCTGCCTGTCAAAAAAAAAAAAAAAAAATGAATCATCCAGACTGAAATACTGAAATAGCTGGTGTATTTACAGAATATGGATTTTATCGAATATAGATAAAAGGCATTGATTGTGTGTTCTCCTTTATTCTTTTAGACAGTGTTTGGGGAAAAGCTGGTGGCTAAATTCTTGTTTGAGACTGACTTCTCAGATGATCCGATGCTTCCTTCACCTGACCAGCTGAGGAGGAAAGTGCTTCTTAAAAACAAGAAGCTCAAGGCCCATCAGACACCAGTGGATATCTTAAAGCAAAAGGTACCTCCTTCTTGCTATACAGGTTATGACTGTGCGTGTTCTTAGAACAAAGAAATTAACATCCCTCAGACCTTTCATTTGATTTACAAGGTAACCAGTTGCTTTTTTATTTTTTAAGATTCTATTTATTTATTTGAGATATAGAGTTACAGAAAGAGGGAGAGACAGAGTGGGAGAGATCATCCACTGTTCACTCCCCAAATGGCTGCAACAGCCAGAGCTGCGCCGATCCAAAGCCAGGAGCCAGGAGCTTCCTCCAAGTTTCCCATGTGGGTGAAGGGGCCCAAGCACCTGGGCCATCTTCTGCTTTCCCAGGCCACAGCAGAGAACTGGATCAGAAGAGGAGCTGCTGGGACACGAACTAGTGCCCATATGGGATGCCGGCACCGCAGGCAGAGGCTTAGCCTACTGTGCCACAGCACCAGTCCCAGGAAGCCAGTTTTGAAAACTGAGTTTCTTTAAAGGATGTATTTGATTTTGGGATTTCTACTTCATATGCCAGTGAAGTCTCTCATCCCCCTCACCTAAAATTCTACTTTATGGAATTGTTCCCATGGAGAATACGCCACCATTATTTAGTGATTTGGAATGGATGATGTGTAACTGTTATCTCTGGAGCCAGCCTGCAGGAATACCACAAGTGGTTGTGGTAGTCCCCACTAGGGAAGCCCCCGTTAGGGATGGCCCTTGGATGTGAGCTCTTGGGGAAAGCCCAATAGCAGCAGCCCTGTGATCCTGGTGTGTCTGCAGCATGTTGACCTCAAGCTGCTGCCACGCCCACCTCGCTCACAGAGTTCTGTGCCTTAGCTCCATAAACCTGTCCGTGCAGGGGGACAGCCCAAGAATGTGTTCAAAGGTTCAGATCCAGGAGGCTAAGGCCGCGTACCAGGCCACACTTGCTTATGCTATAGAGAGACAGCTGCCAAAGCTAATTATCCCATTAAAGGGCACTGTTGGCCCAAGTGCTTCACTTTTGAAACAGAGCAGCCAGGAGCACTGCAGGAGCCCCAGCCCACGCAGGGAGCAGGCCCCAGTACCAGGAGCAGGTGTGCAGAGCCAACCCCAGGGCGGGGCTTAGAGCTTTTCATTTTTTCCCGTGCCATCACCTCCAAACTCCCAGTCCTGTTCCAGTCCTGCAGTAGAGGTTTTCAGAGAATGGGGAATTCAGCACGAGAGTTCTAGAAGCCCAACAAATCTAGAACCCTTGTCCCAGGTCATTAATAAAAAATTGTCAAGTTAAGTGTTCATTTGGGTTTGTTGAATAGTCCACTTGAAGTAATCGTCGAAGCTTTAATTTGTAAGCTTCACAGGCAGGTCCTGGGTTGAAAGCCTGAATGGTACACAGCCTGGCGTTGGCGAGAAGTGGTACTGAGAAAAGCCAGGTAGCAGCCACTGACTGTCACAAACCGCCCTGTGACCATGTAGCCATCAGTCTTTCTGGGCCTTTATGGCTTCTTCTGTAAAATGGGAGTCTTAAGGTAACTGGCCTCATAGAACCTCCTGACATTAAAATCTCACAGAAATCTCCCAAGGTGGACTGTGGGACCTGTCAGCATGGCAGACTGCTCTATCACATTCTATCCCGCAACCCAGATCCTCTGGGCCTGGGCTCTTCCAACATTGCTGTTCAAGGGTCAGAATTTTGAAAAACTGTGCACCTCTCATGCCTTTGAAAGGCAACATTAAATATCACAAGTTCAAATAGTTTAAAAGACTGTATTTCTTCATATATTATTCTACACGATATATAATAAAGGGGCTGGTATCGTGGTATCACAGGTTAAACCATCACTTGCAATGCCAGCATCCCATGTTGGAGTAGTAGTTCAAGTTTTGGTTGCTTTGCTTCCAATCCAGATTTCTTCTAATTCCTGGGAAGGCAGCAGCTGATGAGCCAAGTACTTGGGTCCCTCCCGTCCATATGGAAGATCTGAATGGAGTTCCAGGCTCCTGGCTTCAGCCTGGCCCAGCCCCAGGTGTTGTGGCCATTTGGGGAGTGGACAGAGGTGACTTCAGGAGACTTGTTCTTTGTAAACCCATGCTTACTCTAGCTAAATCACCTCTTTACATTTTCAAGTTCTCAAAAACCAACAAACAAACCATTTTGAACTTTTGACGCTGACCACAATATGATTTCCACAACCTACTTCTTCCTCCTTATGAAAGACTGGGGCAGTGGAATCCCATTCCCTGTTGTCTCAAAGTGCTTGCAAACCCAGGACGATTTCCCAGGGAACACCTTCAGTGATTCCACTGTCACACTGCAAGGCCCTTCAGTGCTCTGACAGGCAGTGGGTCTAGACCTGGTGATCTGGCCTCCCATAAGGCCAGTGGATGCCCGGAGGCCAGTGTGCATAGACCCCAGCCCTGGCTTAGAAGGCCTGAGCTCTTTGCATGCAGAGAGCTCTCCCGCAGCAAGGATTCCGATGCCTTCTTCTGCCTCAGTCTTGTGCTAAGGCTCTTTTGAGCCTCCTACTGCACCCCAGCAGAATCCTCCAGGATTTTGACTTGGTCCCAGAACTCTGATCCATTAGACTCAAATAGTTCCACTAGATGGCAAGCACTGGGGAGAAGGAAGAGTGAGACCTGCTCCTGCCTAGTCCCGCTGGAGCCAGCTGTCTCCTCTTACCCCTACCTCAAACACTGTCTGGCACTCATCCTATGAGACGCTCTGAGAAAAGGAAGGGGAAACAAATCCCTGGTTAAATAAGTGTGGGAGATGTTGCCCTGGAGACAGACTTTTGAGGAACCGTGATTGCCTTTTAGCACAGTAAAGGAAGGCTCTGTGAAGCCCTGTGGCAGGGGTGGGCTTCAGTTTGGTTAAGCCACCATCTGAAAAGTTTCCTTGTGCTTCATGGTTACTGTTTTTTCAGTTTTCCCATGATATATTTTAACACCCACAGGGGTCCATATACCCACTTGGAAAATCCCAGCCCAGACAGTGTTCAGTTTTCTGGGACAGACCATGTTGTAAAATACTTTAGGTATAGACACAGCCTAAATATGTCTTCCTTATGTATACATTTCTATTATAAAGTTATTATAACCACATTTTAGAATAGAGGATTATTTTTAAACACACATAATTCCAAGGTTGAATACAGACTCTATCACAGGAATTCTTAACCCTGATAATATCTACAGATAGAATCCAAGCAGCAGATGAACATAAAAGGAAAAAAATCCTTATTTCCTCTAACCTCTACTTGAAATTTGGCATTTCTTCTGTGTGAGGAACAGACCACGGTAACATTGGCAGCACCTATGCCTTTGTCACCAGCGGAGATGATGGCTTTTTCTTGTAACTTCACCATTCTGCTAACACTTGTCTCCGTGAGAATTATTTATGCTCATCATATTTTCATCATTGCCCGGCCCACCATTATTATGTGTTTGCTTTGTTGGTAAAGGAAGCACACACATTCTGATAGCACAAATGTGCCTTGTAACATTGTGGCGACTATATTGAACATTATTTCCTTCTGTAATCATTTTGTTTTATGCATTTAAACATCGTTCTGAGAAGGGATCCTAGCTTATGAGACTACCAGAGGGCTCTGTGACACAGAAACAGGTAGGCAGCCTGTGGTGTCAACCTTAACTGGCCTCTTTATGAATGCCATTTTGTGTAATATAATTATACATACTTTAAAAGATATGTGTATATATTCACATGTACAGATATTAAATATACACACAATTCTATGTTCAATAAATGACCTCCCTGGCTGGACACATTAGGTTTCCTAAAGTTTCTAAGCCTGTTTTGTTGATTTGATTTACCATTCAGATGATGTCTCTTGGAAAAAATCTTATTTGAACCAACTATCTTTCATTTTGTTAAGTTTGTTTATTTGAGAAGGAAAGAGAGAGAGAGAAAGAGATCTTCCATCTCTGGCTCACTTCCCAAATGCCCACAACAGCCAGATCTGGGCTAGGCTGAAGCCAGGAGCCAGGAACTCCACCCAGGCCCCCCAGAGATGGCAGAGACCCAAGCACTTGGGTATAATCTACTGCCTTCCCAGGTGCATTAGCAAGAAATGGGACCTGAAGCAAAATAGCTCAAACCAGTGCCCTGATATGGGATGGGGGCCTCCTAAGCAGTGGCTTAACTCACTGCACCATAACATCCGCCCCAATCCAGCTATTCCTTTAATCTCTTTGTCCATAGGGATTCTGACATGATTCTGGAGGCCAAAGGGCTTTATTTTAAGAAATTGGTTTTTTTTAGCAGAGACGTAGCATTCCTACACAGCTGGGCTGAGTAACTTCTCTCTCTTTTTTTCTTTTTTAACTTTTATTTAATAAATATAAATTTCCAAAGTACAGCTTTTCGATTACAGTGGCTTCCCCCCCCCCATAACTTCACTCCCACCTGCAACCCTCCCATCTCCCGCTCCCTCTCCCATTCCATTCACATCGATTCATTTTCAATTATCATTATATACAGAAGGTCAATTTAGTATATATTAAGTAAAGATTTCAACAGTTCGCACATACACAGAAACACAAAGTGTTAAGTACTGTTTGAGTACTAGTTATAGCATTAATTTACTCTTTTTTTTTTTTAAGATTTATTTGAAAGGCAGAGTTAGAGAGAGAGAGAGAGAATCTTCCTTTCACTGCTTCACTCCCCCAAATGGCTGCAATGGCCAGAGCTGGGCCAGCCAAATCCAGGAGCCAGGAGCTTCTTTCTGGTATCCCATGAGGGCACAGGGCCCAAGGACTTGGGCCATCTCTGCTACTTTCCCAGGTGCATTAGCAAGGAACTGAATTGGAAGTGGAACAGCTGGGACTTGAACCAGCACCCATATGGGATGCTGGCTCTTCAGCCATCAGCTTTACCCACTACACCACAGCATCAGCCCCCTGAGTAACTTCTTCAGTCATTTGGGACTGCTGGTGGCTCCCCAGGGCCCTGAAGGTGTCTCTTGGATGGTTTGTCCTAGGCACCACACAGTTTCCTCATGATTGTTTCTAAAAGGTCCAGGATTCTTCCTGGATGAGGTTGACATCCACCTAAGTGTTGACTTGCATTTCAAGTGAGTCCAAGATATTTTTTGCCTATCCCAAATGAGTGAAAATGGGTTAGTGACTGTGCTGAGCTTTAAATGCAGTTTTGACGGTTACAGATGACAGTTCGGTAGCTGGGCATTGAAGTATTGCTCTCTCTACAGGCTCATCAGTTAGCTTCCATGCAAGCACAGGCTTATAATGGTGGGAATGGCAACCCCCCACCTGCCAATAATGAAGAAGAAGAAGATGAAGAGGATGAATATGACTATGACTATGAATCCCTTTCAGATGGTAAGAGATTCAGAACCTAATGCTGTGTGCAGGGAAATGCTTGGCTGGTTTTCTGGCTTTTGCTTGTTTGGGGTATTTTTTCAATTTTTTCCCAAAAATAAATGTTGACTTTCCCATAGACCAATAATGCAGATTGTTGTATACCTGTCCAAGACTTTCTGAACCCAGTTACTTAGCAAGGACCAAGAGAGTAAAAGAAGACTTCTGTTAGTTACCATGGTCACCTCTCAGGGAAAGAAGAGAAGGTGCAGGATGCCACACGGGGGGTGGGGGTGGGGTGAGGCATTCCTGAGATGGATTCTTGGAGAAAGAGAAGCCCATCCTCTCAGTTCTGCAGAGGAATTGTAGTCTGTGGCCAAATTTGTTCTCTCCCCAGCACCACCTGCAGGGGGCAGCATCGCCACTCTGTGCTCTCCTTTTCTGGCTCACACTGGTGGTGTGGAGATATAGAAAAAAATCCTCATTTCCCTCCCTCTGGCCTACCAGAGAGATAACTACAGATAACTTGGGAAGCATTCCATTCACATCAGAATTGGGTTTAAAATGTATTTCCTGTGTACTAAATTAGTGTCACTTGCCAGAGATTGCAAACTGCTTTCTCAGGTACCATTGCTGATGGTAGACTGTTTTGATAACTTCTAAAAGATAACAATGTGCTTATGGGGAAATGCCAAGCTTCCTACTTATATACACATTATGCATGCAGAGTATACTGTTTCTGTGTAGAACATTGTTTAACTCAACATGGAGCTCTTCCCAGACTAGCAGCTGTTTGCCACTGGTGCCAAGATCAGGTGAGCCACCTTCCTCCAAGTTGCTACTTCTCTGGCTCCAGACAGTTGGCTCCACGAGCTTCCTTCACTGATACAGCCCCATCTTCTACCCCCAAATATGATACCAGACTAAGTTCACTTCCTGTGTGTCCTTAGGAGTGGGCATTTGGTGCAGTAGATGCTGCTTGGTTTGCCCACCTTACATATCAGAGTGCCTGGGTCCAAGCCCTGGCTCTGCTTCTGGTTCCAGCTTCCTTTAATGCACACTTTGAGGGGCAGCAGGTGATGGCTCAAGTATGTGGATTCCTGTCTGGGTTGAATTCCTGGCTCCTGGCTTTGGCCTGGCCCAGTTCCAGCTATTACAGGCATTTTGAGAAGTGAACTAGCAGATTAAATCTCAATCCCCCCCGCCCACTCACACTCACTCTTACTCACTCACTCTGGCTCTCTTTCATATGAAATGAAAATAAATTTTAAAAATTAATGTGTGTCCTTAATAATTATTGATTTTTGCTTCATACTATTAATTTAAGAATCTATTTAGTTGATCTGAAACTCCATCAGATAACACAAGGGATAGATCTCATCATATAATAACAGACGATTAAAAGGAATCAAGATCATTTCTTTGTAGCCTGTTCTTGAGAAGTCGTGGGAATGTGAATATTTTTATATGGAGTTATTCTTCCCATGGATTTCTACTGTAGTTATGGTAGTATCCCAGAAAAGACTAAAACAATTCAGATATGAAGCGAAAACCACACTTAAGAATTCAACCAATCCAGATGTCCTTTACCTCTGTAAGAAGTTAGTCCAGTGAAAGACAAATTCACTCTCTATCGTCAATTACTCCTGTGTTCTTTCTCTACTTTTGAGAACAGAGAAAGGAGAAGCCTTGTAAAAAATTATTATTATAGATGTTTTGATTTGCAAATAAAATGAACAGATGGAGGAAGGATCTTTCTGGCTTATTTTCAGTCTGGAGAGCAAAATGTAACCCTACCCAAACTGAATTTCTAAGTTAGTTGCACGCATTTTTTAAAACCCACACGTACTGATGCAGAGTTTCAGTGGAAAATGGGGCCCCACCAGGCTCTGCCCCAGTGGGCTACGAGACCCTGGGGAACGTCCTTTCCCTGTTGTCACCATGGGTCCCTCGGATGCGCAATGAGAAGGGTCTGAGCAGTGTTTGGTGACGTTCTCCCAGCTTCTAACACCTGTGATCTCTGACTGTGCCACTCCACTCCCGCCACCTGACCATTTCCCATTTCACTGAAAGGTCCTCGGACTGGAGGATTCCCAAACAGACCTTGCAGTTTCGCTGTCCCTCACTGAAGCGTGTCCCATGGAACCTTCCGTACATGTACAAGGACTGTTAAATGCCTTGTCAAGCGTAGGCTTTTGATTGTGCTTGTGGTGCCTCATTCATCTCTCCACTGTTACTACAATCTCCAGCTGGGATGAAAGGAAAGCAAAAACCTGCCTGCAGAGTGGAGAACCAGCTCCAGCTTTTAGAGGGGCCTCAAAGGTTTCTAGGGCTCTTGACTTATGGGTCCCTTTGCAAGTCAGAAGGAAGCCATGGATGCATACCTCCAAGAGAAATCAACCCTGCATACAAGCAATTGCAGGAGCTTCTCAGGTCTCCCAGGGCCCTTGCAGGTGTGCCAGGTTAAGATCCCATCTCTAAAGTCAGGGGCCAGGTTTATCTCAGACAGCTGCAAAAGGAGGGGAATTAACCTCTTTGCCCCTTTGGTCTATAAAAGTGCCATGATTACAACCTACAGAATTGTGGCACCCAAAAAGCCTAAGGAAGTTGCAAGTGAGGTTACACATTTTAGGAATCATGACTCTACCTTTTGTGTAACAAATTCTTAATGAATATTTATTTATTTAAATTTGATGTTAGCAATAATGTCTTATTGCTAGTGGTTGCACTCCTTAATTGTCAAAATATTAAATCTCTAAAATATTTCTTGTTTCATTTATCTTATAATCTAAGCTATCATTATTTATGCTTTGCTTTCTATCTTATGTTAATTTGTTGGCTTTTTGTCTGATTCTTCTCACTTTTTATTTCTCTGAATTTTATGACATATAATGAAATTTAAAGAAGTAAAGTAGATTCTTTTCCCCAATGTTGTCGCTTACTTTGACTAGTTTTGAATATTTACTGCAGCACAAATTTGAGTTAATAACCCAGTGTAGGCATATTCTTTTACAATGACTGCACATTACTAATAAATTAATCAATTTCTGTCCATTTGAAGGAACTGGAAATAGATGACATGAGTGTGGCAGCCACTGGCATGATGAATATTAACCATAATGTCTTCTCTTGCTAATGGTTGCACCTCTTAATACTCAAAATATAACTCTATGAAACATTTCTTGTTCCATTTATCTTGTAGTCTAAGCTGTTGTTGTTTATGTTTGGCTGCATATCTTAATTTACTTTGTCTGCCTTTCTGTCTCACTTCTCCTTCCTTTTGTCCCCTTTCTGATTGTGTTTTTCTGTAGCAGACGTCCTTACTGCTTCCCCTGCTCCTAACGGTCAGGAAGGTAAAGGCCATTTGAACCGGGCATTTTCACTGCATGGATGGCAGCATTCATTTCCAATTTCTTGGGCCTGATTCACATGAAAGTGTGACACCTCTGTGAATCCAAATGTAAAGAAATGATTTATCTCGTTTACGTCTTGGCAGCCTGCGTGGCCCTGATTTGGAATAAGGATGTATTGGTGTAAACGTCTGTGGTCTGATGAGAGGATGAAGTCTTGAGGGTGTTTTCATTTTCAGAGAGCATGATCATAACATAGCCCAAGCACCTTTAGAATCATTTGGAATAGAAATGCTGGGGGGGAAAAGCAAAGCATAAACTTATCTGTCGTACTATGATATAGCATATTTTAATTTGTTATTATCACTTAATAACTTAATACCAATCATGAAAACCTTACTTTCAAATTAATTATAATTGTGAAAATTTTGCATTGTATTTAGCAATATATCTTTTCCCCTCTGGTTTTGACATTTCTCCAGGAAGAAGTGAGTAGGTTCACTTTAAAGTGAGAGTGATTCCATCATGTGTTCCTACCTAGAAGTGCTTCGGCCACTAAATCCTTCCCAAACCTGTGTGCTGTCAGCTTCTCAACACAGAGTATCTTCCATAATGGGTTCACAGTTCTCATCATCTTTATGAAAATGAGTATTCCATCTCTATTTTGTCTATATGCTATTAATTAAATTGAAAATAAACACTTCAACCCCGTTGTTAAAACTGTGCTTCAAGCCATCATTTCCGTAGTAGGTAGCCAGAACCTCCATCCGTCAGATAGGTACAAGTAGCTGGATCCCTGCGGGGTGGACACAAAGCCTTGAAAGTCGTTTGGTTCTCTTTCACTGAAGCCTGCTAACTGGTTTTCAGACAACATTCTGGAAGACAGACCTGAAAACAAGTCCTGTAATGACAAGCTTCAGTTTGAGTACAGTGAAGAAATCCCCAAAAGGATAAAGAAAGCAGATAACTCGGCTTGCAACAAAGGAAAGGTAGGTGAACGGTTTGTGCTCAGTGTCACCTGGGCTGTGGTACTCCCGTCAGTTCCAGGCGAGATTCCACCTCCTCTGTCCCTTCCTACCAACTTTCCCTTGGTTTTCCTTTAGACGCCAACTCTGGCAAGGCCAGGCGTTGATTCATCCGACCAGTGCCTATTGACAGTAGAAGTGTGGTAGACACCAAAGTGGCTTAGGTGGTCCAGTGACGGAGATAGACGTATCACCAGTGCTCAGATACGTGCCCCGGGTTGTCAGAGGATCAGGGAAGGCTCCTGGGGAAGGTGATGTTTGAGAAGGAGAAAAATAGAGCATTCAGGCCAAGAGGACAAGCTGATGTGTTTGTGTTCAGGGAATTGCAAGAAGCTTCAAAGGGAGGGGCAGGAAGTTGAATGGGGACAGATTGCATCGTGTTAGACACTGAGGATAGAAAAGACACCTGCAGTCCCCAGACCCTTCCCTCGAGCACCTCACAGCACATGGACTCTGAGTGCATCATAGCCAGCGGCAGCGATGTTGCTGGAAAATAAACAAAATACATTAACACCCTGTGCTTCAGGAGATAGTCCTCCACCTATTCAACAAGTGTCCACTGACTGTTGCACAAGTAAGACCATGGACTGAGCCCCGAGGGAAGATGGAGGAGGCACTAGCTCGCCCCATGACCTAGCAGCTTTCACCCCAGGGAAAGTGTGAGGACTGGTACGAATGTATGGATAATTACAGAGCAGGGGGAAACTCTCCTGGTGGCAGCCAAGTGCAGGTAATGAGCTTTGGGACTTTGGGGGAACCAGCATAAATCTTCCATGTAAAAGGGTATCATTTCCCCTTGGTAGGTGTATGACATGGAACTGGGAGAGGAATTTTATCTTCCTCAAAATAAAAAAGAAAGCAGACAGATTGCACCAGAGCTTTCTGACCTCGTCATCTATTGCCAAGCTGTGAAATTTCCAGGTAAGAATGGGCAAGATCATCTCTAACACTTAACTGCACCACAGGATGAAAATATATTGTTTAGTTCAGTGGGCACTGTGAATGCTACCAAAATAAAGAAATCATGTTGCTGAAATCATCGTATTAACACTCTCTAAATATCTGTTATGATTATCATTGGCTTTGGTGTTTATGAGGAAAAACAGTATAAGATGTTCATTTCCAGACCACACAGTTTCCTTGCATAATAGTTAATAACAACGATAAAAACAAAGGAAATCTAATAATTAAATATATTAACTACTTAAGTATCGAAGTTTGTGCTAAGTGTTTTATGGAGGTCCTCTCCTTGATGACTCTCACTAATTCTAAGAGGTAGGGGTTATACTGTCTCCATTTTAAAACACAACATCAGCAGTGCCCTTCTTGTCAGGGAGCATGGTCAATGTATTCATCCAATCAGATGGCTCATAGACGGGACCCCAGAAGACGGGGGGCAAGCAGGGAAGCCCATAAATTATGGAAGTCAGTAAAATTCATTTCTTTGTCCCGAGAAAAGGGATTCCCTTGCACAGGCTGTCTGTGGACAAGGGAGGGCTGGTTTGGAGGGGCAGCCTGAGTGTTGGTAAACAGGGTATGTGGCCACGGTCTAGAGGGGGGCGTTCACACACCTGCCTTCCTCTTCCCAAGATGAGCTGAATGCGGGTTCCGGCCCCCAGAGCACGTCTTAAACCCCACTTCTCACACTGCACCTGGAAAAATGAGACAGAGGTGTTGGACTATTAAAAAAAATGAGGCACCGGTGGCCTTTTCACACCCTCGAAGGAACAAATATACCATAAATCGAACTTTGTTCCTGTTAAGCTTTCTCCCGTAAACTGTCTTTAAACTGCTGGCAGCTGCTGCTACTTGTCTGCTAGCTGCTCGTCCGCTCGTGTCAAGGCAGAGATGAACGGCCGCATAGCCAGCAGAGATTTCAGAGGAATGCCGGGACTTAGACGCCTCGCTTCCGTTTCAGAGGTCATGACCTTAGGTCACACAAGTACGTTGGGTCACATTTGCTCACCTGGCCGGCCTGGCCTTCCCCGAGGGATCCTGTATGAAGCCCACTCCGTGCGAGGCTCCTGCTCGCTGCAACTCTTATGCCTTAGAAGTGCAGCTGATGCAACCGCCAAGCCGCTCCACTGGCTTTGTCTTGGCTTCTGGAGCGCAGAGTAGATGAGGAGCGCAGATCCCCAAAGACGTCTGAAATCAGCGCGAAAGATAAAGATTCTGTGCCAATAGAGAATCACAGAGAGGTCAAGGGCTCGTTTGCTGCCGCTTCTGACTTGAGGCATAGGCTAAGCGCCTGGTGGTTTGGCTTATTTTTAAAAGTCCAAGTATGTTGTTTTTTTCTAAAGTGTTTATGTAGCACACATTCCTACAGGCATACTGTACTTTAATGCTTTCTAAGTAATTGAAATGTCTTACATTTTTCTTTCCCCAACTTTATTTCCTTTCTCCAAATAACTGAGTTGTGCTGCCAGAATCGCTGCTGGAACACCTTTAAAATATTTATTGTTACCATGGCTGTTCTGATGACCATGAAGAAAATACCATAAAATGTTCAGTGGCTGCAGCATTGATTTTGATTTTGCTGTGTTATAATTTCAATGTATTTCACTTTTCGTCCTTCCAAATTCCCTTCCCAGGAGTCATATGCCAAAAAAAAAAAAAAAAACTTCAGAGCAGTGAGGGACTCAAAGATCATGTGGTTTGAGGCCCCCACGAGTAACGGAGACCCCCATGATCACGTTCAGCTCCCTGCGTCCTGTTCTTTCCGTCACACTGTCTTGTCTTTAAGGACGCATCCCTCCATACTTCCATACCTGCTTTCGCATAGGGTTTCTTTCTCAGTTACATTCACTTTGTGAACTGACCTGTATTTTGTGCTCTTCTAAGAGGAAAATGGGAGGACCCGGCGTTTTTATCATCTCGCCCTACAACTCAGTTTCCAGCTACTTCCCGCCAGCCCCCTGTGTCCCTCACTCTCCTATACACATCACAGTCTTTGCAGCTTCCAGGCCATTGCACAGAGCACTCAACCTGGCCAGCTCTTCCCGCTCCCCTTTGCCATGCATGGTCCAAAGTCACAAGGCCAGGGTTCCCTGTGAAGTACCGGGACTCTTAAAGTCATCATGGTGTCTCTTCTGGGAACTGCTTGCATGTACAGGCATGTGCTCAGGTACCTACAGGGACTCTAGTTATCCACAGTTACAGTACAGCATTCTATGAGAAATATTAGAGATGGCATGATCACTGGTCAGAGATCTGGACTTGTGACTACCATGCTCTGTGAGCTTGACCCCAATAATTCCCCTCTCTGGGCCTCAATTTCCTCTCTTTAAAGTCTATGTTCTCTTTTCTAAGATTTTTTTTTTTTTTTTTTTGCATTCCACACAGTGGCTTACCTCCCTACGCCACAATGCCAACCCCTAAAGTTATGTTCTTAACAATACTCCAGCCTGTCTTCTCTAATTCTGTTCTTGGAAGGTGCATTTTCATCTTTAAGAGGACTTCCTAAATGCTGCTTCAGCTTGATGAATGACTCAAAGGTGTACGTACTTGTAGACTTGTAGATCACTGGTGCTTTGTCATCCTCCTTGTCACACTGGAGCCAGGTCTGTGTGAAGTGCATTCATTTCCTTATTCAGCAAATATGTCCTGAACTCCTGCTGTGCTGAAGGCACTGTGACAGTCATGGGGCACCCAGGGAATGGTTGGGCACAAGGCAAGAAGGAGAAGCCATGAAAACGCATTATCATCTTAGTTGATTCCCCACAGACTCCTCAGACTAACCTATGGGTGAGCTCCTATAATCACACCCATTCTGTAGATAAGGAAATTGAGGAACAGAGGTCAAGCCTCACTGGCATGAATTTAACCTGGGACAATAGGAACCATTTTTTTTTTTTTAAGATTATTTATTTATTTATTTGAGAGAGTTACAGACAGAGAGAAAGGTCTTCCATCCGCTGGTTCACTCCCCAGATGTCGACAAAGGCCAGAGCTGAGCCGATCCAAAGCCAGGAGCCAGGAGCTTCTTCCGGGTCTCCCAAGCAGGTGCAAGGGGCCCAAGCACTTGAGCCGTCTTCCACTGCTTTCCCTGGCCATTAGCAGAGAGCTAGCTTAGAAGAGGAGCAGCTGGGACATGAACCGGCATCCATATGGAATGCTGGCGGCTTAGCTCACTACACCACAGTGCCAGTCCCAGAATTATTTCTTTTAATCTCCCAAAATTGAGTAATTAGGCCCTGACAATTAAATAGTGATTGCAGCACTTTCTTCTCATGGAATTTTTCAAAATCTCTCTGGTATACAACCAATCAGGTACATGTATGACTTTGAGGTTAGAAGCACATCATTTTTATTGCAGAGATAAAAACTTTGCTATAATTGCCTCCGATACTATTATTAATGGTGCTAAAAATGCTAGCAGATCTTCTGAGCTGGGTTATAAGGGAGTAGTAGAACTTCAAAATAAACATGAACAGGGATGGAAAATGTTGAGTTCCCTTGCCTGGAGTTTTTGGCTTATTTATTTTCATTTTATGGGAACAGGGCTGTCAACTCTAAATGCATCTGGCTCTAGCAGAGGAAAAGAAAGGAAAAGCAGGAAGTCCATTTTTGGCAACAATCCGGGCAGAATGAGCCCAGGGGAGACAGCATCGTTTAACAAAACATCTGGAAAAAGTAAAGTCACCTTCTTACAATATTTTTGCTTGATTCTGCATGTGCCATGGTTAGGATATTTCACTGTCGAAGTTTTTAATTCCTTTTTTATTTTCGTGAATGTTCTCATTGTCCAAGTGTGGTATAAATGTCTTTAAAACTGCTAATTTTCACTTTGAACTTACTACAAATAGCATTTCATTGAACATGCCCTCATACTATTTGCCTCAAAAGTAAGAATTGAAGGCACCTGGGAACATTCTGGTGGTTCTTGGAAACTGCTCTCTTTGCCATTGTAACGCCAGATGATATATCCATTTTATTTCTAATTACTTTTTATTGTGAAAGTAATAAATCCTCATAGTTAAAAGCTCAAACAATACAGAATATTATTAAAAATCTTTCCTCTCTCAGTGTCCTGGTGCTGCTCCTCAGAGGTAACCACTGTTAAGTTTATTGTGTTTTCTTCAAGAAAAATAAATGCCTTTTTAAGATGATCCAAATGGAATATGAACATATTTGTATAACTTTTATACTTGCTATAACTTTTCACATAACTTTCTGTACATGTGTCTGCCTTACTCTGTTTAATGCCTGTGTGGTATTCCATTGGGTAGATATTTATTTAAGCATTTCATTGATTTAGTTACCTCCTTGCTGGTCGAATACTTGGATTGCTTCCAGTTTTTAATTTTTATTTTGCTGTGTATTTGTGGGAGTATACCTATGGCACAGTGAGGTCCTGAGGCCAGGGATGCCCAGGCTTTTAATTCAAATCAGTACTGCTACTCTGTTATTTATTTCTGTTTACTTGACAGGCAGAGTGGATAGTGAGAGAGAGAGACAGAGAGAAAGGTCTTCCTTTGCCATTGGTTCACCCTCCAATGGCCACCACGGCTGGCGCGCTGTGGCCGGCGCACCACGCTGATCTGAAGGCAGGAGCCAGGTGCTTCTCCTGGTCTCCCATGGGGTGCAGGGCTCAAGCACTTGGGCCATCCTCCACTGCCTTCCCAGGCCACAGCAGAGAGCTGGCCTGGAAGAGGGGCAATCGGGACAGAATCCTGCGCCCCGACCGGGACTAGAACCCAGTGTGCCGGCACCACTAGGTGGTGGGTTAGCCTAGTGAGCCACGGCGCCGGCCTCATTTTATCTTTAAAGGTTATTTATTTATTTATTAGGCAAAGTTACCAAGAGAGCAAGAGAGATCTTCCATCTACTGGTTCACTCCCCAAATGGCCACAACAGCTGGGACTGGGCTAGGTCAAAACCAGGAGCCTGGAACTCCATCCAGGTCTCCCATGTGAGTGCAGGGGCCCAATCGCTCAGACCATCTTCTGCTGCTTTCCCAGACACCTTAGCAGGGAGCTGGATTAGGAGCGGAGCAGCCGGGACTCCAGCCTGCACTCCTGTGGCATGCAGCTTCCCAGGTGGTGGCTTAACTCGCTATGCCACAACGCTGCGCCCCCCACACACTCATTTTACAACTCTGTAGCTGTATGTTTCAGGGTGATGAGCTGACTTCTGCTGTCTTTCTGTGTTACACCTGTTTGCTGGGAAGCTGTGCGGGTTTCCCTTGGGAAAGGATGGGGTTTTTACCCCTAACCTGAGCCTCATCTTTTGTGGGGGGGTTTAGGTTTCTGTGAAGGCATTCGCCAGAACTGGGAGGAGACGCCCTCCGCTCTGAACCCCGCCACGTCGCTCAGCGCTCTCATTCGAACTCCCCGATGCTACCACATCTCGTCGCTGAACGAAAATGCCGCCAAACGGCTGTGCCGCAGGTATTCGCAGAAGCTGATCCAGCACACCGCCTGTCAGCTGCTCAGGACCTACCCGGCCGCCACCCGCATCGACTCCTCCAACCCCAGCCCCCTCATGTTCTGGCTCCATGGGATACAGCTCGTGGCCCTCAACTACCAGACGGACGGTAATGGGCGCAGCCTCCCCTCTCTCCTTTGTATCTGACCTTGCAGTAAATGCGGCTGACAAGCACCATTGTTTCAATGGGAGGAGCTTCCAGACTGCTACACACAGAACCCCAGGGTCAAAATACAGAGGGCGGAAAGCAAGGGTGTTTGATACTGAACTGTGGCCCTGAGACTTCATAGTTCAGGTGATAGAGAAGAACCTCGAAGGGGCCTCCAAAGTCTTCTGGCCCTGCCTCCTCCCTTTTTAAACTGATTTGGTTGTGAGGCAGAGAAGGGGGGGGTGAGCAGGTTAGAGAGCCTCCATGCATGGGTTCAGCCCCAAATGCCTGAGCTGACTGGGCTGGGGCCACAGCTGGGAGCCAAGAATTCAGTCCAGGTCTCCCATGTGGGTGGCAGGAATTGAACTACTTGAGCCATCACCACTGCTTCCCAGTGTCTGCGTTAGCAAGAAGCTAGACTCAGGAGCCAAGGCCAGGAACCAGCCCCAAGCACTCTAGTGCAGGAAGTGGGCATCTTAATCACTAGATTGAACACCACCCCTTGCTCCCATTTTTGAAAAGCACTTTTTAAGCAAAAACTAGAGCTGTGCCCACTTGGTTTATAAAAATATTTCTGAGCAGGGATCTCCTAATGCTACTTAGAACCTGTCTCACTATGCAATTCTTGCAGCCAAAAAAAAAAAAATTGTCTAACATGCTGTGAGTTAAAACCGTTTTTTCTTTTTTACATTCTTGTCACCACTTTGAAATGTGAAAAGGAGAATAAAGGGAAGTACCTTAACAGTAGCTATTCAAGGGATAACAAGGATGTGAATTGCAGGAAGAGAGAGAGCGGTGTTCATGTTTCCATAATCTACGAGACTGTGACACCAGGCCTGAGCCTCCAGAGGGAGCTACCACTTCCTGCATGCTCACCGTGCTCCTGGCACTGTGAATACCTGACCCTTTATATCGGGTGTACCCTGATCTCGTTTAATTTTCACAACACCCCAAGGTGCAGGTACCGTCATGATCCCCGTTTCTCAGATGAACAATTAGCCCAAGGTCACAGGATGGCTTGCAATGAGAAGTCCAAGGACTCTGGGAGTTTGGAGGATAAAGCATTTTGTTTCCATGCTGTTTTAGAGGGCAGCAGGGAAGCTACAGGAGGTAAGGAAAGACTCCATAAAGAATGTTTCCTAGAAGCACAATCAAAACCACAGTCTCCTTTAAACAAAACAGTCAAGCAGTGAGCAGCCCTTATCATTCCTCTCACGTGAACTGTATCAGATACTAACTAACTGTGCTGAACCATAAACCACAGCACAACCCTGACTCCAGCGGAGGTCAAACCGCAGCTTTAGCTCTGGGACCAGCCAGCTAGCTACTCAGTGCTGATGCCGACAGTACCCAGTTGTGACTGACCTCAAAGACATCTGCTTAGAGATAGCAGTCTTTTTTGTTTGTTTGTTTGTTTTGGCCCTTGTCGCATACACATCTTTCTATTGAAATGAAATAAGATGATGTGGATGAAGGACAATATTTAGCATAGCTCTTGGCACATGAAGAGCATTCCACAAATATTAACCATCATAAAGTGTGTTTGATAAATTATAAAAACAGTATGATTTGGGCTCGCAAATGGAAATAATAGTGAAATACTTTGGGGGTGAAAGTTGTAAAAATGTCAGTTTCCATTTCTTTTCAATCTTTCCCGAGTGGCTTGTAGGATCACATCTCTGGCCCAGTCTGTGGTTCTGCGTCCACTGGCACCCTTGATACCAAAATATTTTAAGTAAACTGAAATAACTAGCAAAGCAATTTTATCAAGGAAATGGAAATGCATTCGGTTTGGGATATGCCCAATCTTCTTTAGTGCCAAGTGCAGTGCAGACACGCCGGCTCCACCAATGGCAAAGGGAGCCCCAGGCAAACAAGACACAGGGATTTGCTACTTCTTGGGCCATCCTTCAGTGCAGCAGAACACATTGAGCTCCCAAATGCAGGGAAAATAGTATGATTGTGGTGTCCACTTACAACAGGGCCTCCAAATGAGTAGAAGACTATAAAGGCAAAGGTATTCTTGGCCTACCACCATCGTGTATGAGATGTAGAGAGATCATAGGGCGACACTGATTCATGCCTGCCCTCTCACTTGGCTGGAACAGGGGTTTTCAAATAATAACCCCAGATGAATTTCTGGGACCATTCCCAGGGAACAGGAGGAGAGCTAAATGTGAAGCCTCCTCTTTATTTAAAATTGAGTGGCTCCACATGGATCAGTTTTACATATTGGGTCACTAAATGAGATCTTTGTCAACAAAAAACGTGCTTTACATTTTTGGAAAGCTATTAGGACAGATAGAGTGCTAATGAAATCAGACTTCAAACCATAAGTAGCATGATCATAATATAATTTCCATTCACTGGGCACCAAATGCTAGAATAGGGACTCTCATACATTATCGTATTATGTGGTTCAGTGTCAGGAGGAGGGGCCTTAGTTCCAGCCATCTGGGTTGGAATCCTTGTTCCCACCACTTACCAGCTGTGTGCCTTGGATGTTTCTACTTCCTAGTGCCTCAGTGTTCTTATCTATAAAAATGGGAATACTAAAAGAATCTACTCATGAGTGAGTGGGAGTCCAAGAGTGCAGAAAGTATGAGCTACTATTCCTGTTATTAATATACAAAGAGATTTTTTTAAAGTTCCTGAAAATGTGTATTGTGAAAAAAAAAACTATATGGGTTTCAAAAAAATTTTGATACCTATATAAATCTATCTGAATTCCATGTTCCAGGAGCTTTTGAAGTATTTTTATATGTCTATTTCATATTTGCTCCTCTCTGTTGAGCCAGTCTGCCTCACCCTCTTAGCCATCCTAGCCATGTCAACGTTCCTGTCACAGAGTGGCCAAAGAAGAGGATTTTCTGCCTCTGCAGATGAGACCACAGGGCTACCATGAGTTGGTCCCATCAGGACGTTAAAGAAAGATGGGGTGCAGTGCACGGACTTGACCCCAATACCCAAGGAGCTTTCGTATGTCTCAGACATGTTAGCCCAGGAATCCCTGCACACAAGCCAGGCCAACCCCACATACACGGAACTATTTCACACACAGAAGACACAAAAGCCAACTTCTTGCTCCAAAGCACTTACCACACTTTTCCTTGATGTTGGTCCATAGAGCAAAGTTCAGGCCGTACATGGAAGGAATCTATCAGAGGAAACGTTCAGCAGGTGTGTCCCATAAACTTTTTGCTCATTTGGGAAACTTTGATACAGACTGGAGCCATCACATGAGCGTGTGAGTGTGTAAGAGTCCAGAAACAGTGCAGGTATTGGATCATTCATCAGAGAACTCTGCCAAATAAAATTTGGCCCCAAAAAACTCAGAGCCTTTGTGAAGATTTCTGAAGTTTATGGTTGAGGGGATTGTGGACATGATGTGAATCATATGTGATGACTTTTTTCGTATTTAACTACAATTTAAAAAGAGACAGAAGTTTTGTGATTAATGGGTTGAAATTGATATTTCAAGAAGTTATTTTTCTAGCTATTTTTCTATGGGTTCTTGTATAATTAAAACTTTCTTGCATTTTGTGTTCTAAATTGTTTTAAAATTCCTTTGAAAATGCAGACTGACAGGGAGATCTCTCATCTACTGGTTTGCTCATCAGATGCCCACAGAAACCAAGGCTGGGCCAGGACAAAGCCTGGAAATTCTTCCAGATCTCTCTCATGGGTTCCAGGAACCAAAGTACTTGAGCCATCATCTACTGCCTCCCAGGATGCATTAGCAGGGAGCTGGCTCAGAAATGGAGTATCTGGGACTTGAACCGGTGCTCTGAGATGCAGGTGTCCTCACTCTGCTACGATGCCCACCCCTTAGCTTACATATAAAATAGCAAGAGCTGACCATATAATTATCTGCATGGTTTGGTGTTTGGAGATAAAGAAATACCATTATTTCTTTCCAAAAATCAGTATAAAATGAGGCAATATACAAGACTTTTCAAATGGATGTGGTAAATTTTATTTGCAAGAGATTTTAAGTGGCAGAACTGGTTGTGGTGGAAACACTTGGCTCACCCACAGGCTGTGAGCTCCAGGAGTACAGGGCTTTTTCTCTCTTGTTCCTGGCTTCCTCTTCCAGCGCCTAACAGCCTGGCACAGAGTAGGCACTCATCAGTCTATGGGATGAGTGGATGATGATGTCTTCTTCAGGCTCGAGCTTAGGGAAAATCAATGCAAGATTTTCTCGAACTTTAAATTTACAACTCTCAAATGACAGAGTAGCAGGAAATATTGGCTCTCTCTGTTTTGCAGATCTCCCTTTGCATTTAAATGCTGCGATGTTTGAGGCAAATGGTGGCTGCGGTTATGTTTTGAAACCCCCAGTTCTGTGGGACAAGAGCTGTCCCATGTACCAGAAGTTTTCTCCACTGGAAAGGGATCTGGACAACATGGAGCCTGCTGTCTACTCTTTAACTGTAAGTAGGGCACTCATCATCACATGTCCGGAGTAGGAACAGATTTTGAATTCAAGGCCTTACGAAGCTGTCATGTCACCGAGGGTGCAGATTTAGTTCCCAAAGTGATATCTTGTACCCTGGTTAGACATAGGCGGAACTGTGGTGGAGCTGTGAGGTCCCCTTCACCAGGGGCACTGCTGATGTAGTTCTGTCTGCCCCACAACCATGAGTAGAGTCATTTCCTCATAAGCTCCAACAAGCTGTAGGATCAGACGAACTGGCATGAATATACAGAAACAATTAAGCACCTTTCCCCCTTTTGGTTAATCTTTGTCTTGCTTGCGTCTGTCTTCTATTGCTTTTGTCACCTATTAGCTTATTAAACTGTACCGATTCTGCTTAAGAACACAGCAGCCCTAACTCTTCACTTCAATTTCAAGCTCTTTTGCTCCCTCCTAGTGAACAGAGAAAGAAAAGCAGCATGGAGGATAGGAAAGAGAGGGAGGGTGGTCAAGGTCATCTCCTCCCTCCTCCTTTAGATCTCGTCTCTCCCTCCGCGGGAAGAATGGCAAGCAGCCCTCCGCGCAGGACACCCCAGTCCCCTGGGACAACCGCATTTTCAGATTTTCCTGCCATCCGAACTGCTTTTCTTTCTTTCCCTAAGACAGTAGGACAATAGTCCCTTTTCTCTTTGACCAGTTGAGTTAGAGTCGAGTGGCATTTTATCTGTTTACAGAAAGCTATAAATTCATTTTAGCAACATATACCCTGTGAGGTGTTCCAAAACTAAACTATTCAAGGAAAAGGAATTGAAGTTGTAGAAAGTACTCCTGCAGCATTTTGAGCAGAATATTAGCAACTTTTCTTTTCCTAAGGTCTCCTGCTCTCTCCTATGAGAAACAATTTCATCTTAATTACTTGGCTTTGAAGATATTTGAAGTCTTGGCAATTCAAAGGTCACAGCTAAGCGAATGCCGTTGACAAAAATCGGCTTTTCACATGATTCCAGCCATGGGGTCACCTGATTATAATCACTTTTCTTGGCTCAGTAGTTTTATTCATCTTTGACCTTGTCCAGTCTGGTTTTCTCCGTGGAGGGAAGAGGTGAGGTGCAGAGGTCATCTTTGTTTTCCTTTCGTCTGCAGTGACTTTGACTCTTTTCTTCCCCCTTCAGATTGTCTCTGGTCAAAACGTGTGCCCCAGTAACAGCACAGGAAGCCCGTGCATTGAAGTGGACGTCCTGGGCATGCCCCTGGACAGCTGCCATTTCCGCACGAAGCCCATCCACCGAAACACCCTGAACCCCATGTGGAACGAACAGTTTCTGTTCCGGGTTCACTTTGAAGACCTTGTGTTTCTTCGTTTCGCAGTTGTGGAAAACAACAGTTCAGCAGTAACCGCCCAGAGAATCATTCCACTCAAGGCTTTAAAAAGAGGTAGAATAAAATTCCCAAGAGCACCCACAGTTAACCCTGGCACTTTGAAAGCAGGCACTGATGTAAGGAGAGGAAAGCAAAGGGCGGGAGCTTCAGGGTGTGGTAGTGGCATAGGCGAGCGGGGCGGATGTCCAGTGTTACACATGGGGGATGAGTGTTAGGTGCAGATTAGGGCAAAGATGGAAACTCCTGAGCAAAGGCCGGAGCTATTGGCTTCCACATTGGCTTTGTGTGGCCCTCCAAGAAATTTTGGCCTATTGCACCTGGCCTGGGCATTGCTTCTCAAATTTTGATATGTGTAGGAATCCCTGGAGGCTCTTGGTAAAAATGTGCTGATCCTGATTCAGCAGGCCTGGGTAATACTCAAGATTCTCCCTTTCTTTTTCTTTTTTTTTTTTTTTTTACGATTTATTTATTTATTTGAAAGTTAGAGTTACACAGAGGGAGGAGAGGCAGAGAGAGAAAGAAGAGGAGAGAGAGAGAGGTCTTCCATCCGCTGGTTCACTCCCCAGATGCCCACAATGGCCAGAACTGCACTGATCCAGAGCCAGGAGCCAGGAGCTTCTTCCAGGTCTCCCATGTGGGTGCAGGGTCCAAGGACTTGGGCCATCTTCTGCTGCTTTCCGAGGCTATAGCAGAGAGCTGGATCAGAAGAGGAGCAGCCGGGACTCGAACCAGTGCCCATATGGGATGCTGGCGCTTCAGGCCAGGGTGTTAACCTGCTGCACCACAGCATCGGCCCCAGATTCTCCCTTTCTAACACACTCCCACAGATGCTGACTCTGATGATCTACTTTGAGTACCAAGGTTCTCCTCCTCTAGCCACACCAAGCTGCCATCCTCTGAGCCCCACAAACACATTACAGTCTCCTCCTTGGTCTCCTCCTAGTTCTCTCTTTCCGTTGTGCCAGTAGCCGCCCACCACTGTGTGTGTTTGCTGGGACCTCCGAAGCAGAACACAATAACATAAATTATTGTCTCATAGTTCTGACGCTGGAAGATCACAAAGTGTCAGCAGGTGTATTCTCTTCAGAGGCCCCCTCCTTGGCTTGCCACTGGCCACCCTCTGGCTGTGTCCTCTCGTAGTCTTACTTGGTCTCTGTGCACATGTCTAATGTCTCCAGCTGTGTCCTCATTTCATCTTCTTAAAAGGCCACCAGTCATGTTGGATGAGGGCCCACGCTAATGATCCTGATTGTAACCCGGTTAAAAGTCTTGTCTCCCAATACAGTCACATGCTGAGATACTAAAGGTTAAGTTTTCAGCATACGAGTAGCAGGGGTACAATGGGGGAAACACAGTTCATCCCTCACAGTTATTATAGAATTAAGAAAAAAATACAGAGCTACAAAAGCAATCTTTTAAAAAAATTATCCATTTTCCATCTCTTCAACATAATCCCTCTTGCTGCACATCTTTTCCAAGCTTTCTCTGTCCATGTATATAACACATGAGCATACAGATATATTTTGAATAAATTGGCTTCCTGCTAATTTTAGCATTTTGCAACTTACTGATTTTCACCTACTAAAATATATAGTGAACAATTTGTTTTGTTAGTAACTATACATCCACATTACTGCTTTTGGTGGCTGCATATTATTCCATCTTATACATACAGTACTCACACTATGACTTAGTTAACAAATCTATTACTGGAGCATCACTAAAGTGTCTCTAAGACAGAATGTTTGTCAAACGGCATCTGTAGATGCTTTAGTATCAAAAAGATCAGATTGTCCCACAGCCTTTTGAGTCTGAGGTTTTCTGGTTTTGAGTCTAAGTTAGAAACAGTAGAATGTGGAAAAATTGATCCCCCCTGGGTGGCCCAGGACCCTCTCCAGAGGGCAGAGGGCAGCATTCTCTTGCTGAAAGGCATTGGACTTGCCCTCCGCAGCCCTTTTTAGGGGCCATTTCTGCCTGTCATTTGCTGATTTCATTGGCGTGTCGTCTTTGCAGAGTTCAACAGTGTGTGTTAACAAGCGTCTCCCAATTGTGCATTATTCCAGGATATCGACATCTTCAGCTGCGAAACCTCCACAATGAAGTCTTGGAAATCTCCAGTTTATTCATAAACAGCAGAAGGATGGAAGAAAATCCCTCAGGCAGTGCCTTGCCAGCCTCTTTGGTAATTAACTTCTGTTCTGCTCAGCGTGTTTGTGGAGATCGCTATACTGAAGGTGGACTTTTTTGTCGTACAACAAAGTGGCCAGTGAGAGTCATTAATTAGGCAGCTATAAAAATAATAACAATAGTGAGAGTGGGCATTTTGCTGAGAGGTCCCACACTGGAGTGCCTGGGTTTAATTCCTGGCTCAGGTTCTAGACTCCAATTTCCTGCTGGTGTGGAACCTGGGAGGCTCTGGTGATGGCTCAAGTAATTGGGTTCCTGTCACCCACTTGGGAGACCTGGCATGAGTTTGCAGCTCCTGGCTTCAGCCCCAGCCAAGTCCCAGCTGTTGTAGGCATTTGGCGAATAAACCAGTGAACAGGAACATATACATACACTCTCTTTCTTAAATCATTTTTAAAAAATTTTAAAAAAGGGCCGGCACCATGGCTCACTTCGTTAACCCTCCACCTGTGGCGCCAGCATCCTATGTGGGCACCAGGTTCTAGTCCCGGTTGCTCCTCCTCCAGTCCAGTTCTCTGCTGTGGCCCGAGAAGGCAGTGGAGGATGGCCCAAGTGCTTGGGTGTCTGCACCCACATGGGAGACCAGGAGGAAGTACCCAGCTCCTGGCTTCGGATTGGCGCAGCGCTGGCTGTAGCAGCCATTTTGGGGGTGAACCAACCAACAGAAGGAAGACCTTTCTCTCTGTCTCTCTCTAACTCTATCTGTCAAATAAATAAAAATAAAAATAAAAATTTTTTAAAAAAACAGTGGATGAAACTTGGCTCTTAGCACTTTACTTATGTACTAACTCAATCCCCTTAATAACTTCTTGTGGTAGTATTAGTATCTCCATTTCACAGATGAGGGAGGTAAGTGCTAAGTATATCTGAGGTCACACAGATAGCAAGCAGCAGAACAGTATTAAACTTAAGACCATCTAGTACCAAATCCCATACTCTTAATGAGTAGGCAGATATTAATGTGCTTGCTAGGGAAGTCAGCCAAAATGAATAAAGTAGGGCAAAGCTAAATAAGCAAATCAGCCCAAATAAATAAAATGGGGAGAAGGCTAGTTAGCCAAATCCTAGTAGGAGCCACTTGAATACTTCTGGAAATTTCAAGTTAAACCAGGAAAATCCTTTGCTTCTTCAGCAGTCCAGGGGCAACAGTCACAGGCAGAGCAGGATCGGGGTGTGCAGGAGGCATTGCTGGCAGTGTATAACCTGCTGCTTGGGGAGAGGCAGAATGTGCACCCTTGGGGATGGGAGCTGGACACCGTGAAAAGGGCTACCGCTGCAGAATCAGAATTTTAACCAGCTCCCTGCATAAGTTCTATGTCCATTAGAGTTCAAGAACCATTGAACCAGAGCTCAACCCACTAATGCAGGATGGCTTCACTTAAACAAGAAACGCTGCTTTAATTAGCTGGTTAATTCCATTGTGCTTCCTGTAAATTGAAAATGCACTTAGAAGTGTGTCCTCTGGTTACCCTCTTGATGTGTTTAATAACCTGGTCACTTCTGTATCAATCCTGTACTTCAGCTAAGAAAGGCAGCTTCTGCACTGGCTTGGACAACCTCCACCGCCACCTCCAAATAGCCAGCGCTGCTTTCTTCTTTCATCCTTCTTCCTTCCTTCCTCCCTGTCAGTTTCTTTTATCTCTGTCCCTGACCTTGTTTTCTTGGGTTTTCCTCCTTTCTGCTTCGTTGCTTTATAGCAACTTTGGCTGCACATTTGCATCACCTGGAGAACTTTAAAAAAAATCCCCATGCCCATCCACTCCCTGCACTGATTAAACCACCCTCTCTCAGGGTGGGCCCCAGGCATTGGTGTTTCTAAAGACTGCCAGGTGACTGCAGTGTGCCACCAAGGCTGAGAACAGCACTATAGCTAAGGTGGAGAGGGTTAGGCCGTGGCCCTATGTGGAGGACTGACAAGCAGGGACCGTCTAGTTCCAAAGAGCAGGCATCAGAGGCTTTCAGAGGAGCACAACAGAGCTTCATGACATCAGTATCTCACAGGAAGCTGAAGATCCCACAGATCTTCAGTGAGTGAGCTGTTGACTCTCAACACTGCTCACCCCAGACACCTGATGTCTTTCCATACCACTTTTCCTACTCTGAGCACGAGCTGGGTTTCCCACAACTCAATTTGGTTCTAACACTGTCTACCTAGAGGTAATGCCACATCCCCATGTTAAGGCCTCAGGCCCACTTTAGATGCTAGTCACAAGTCCCAGCTTGTCCCTGGGACTTCTGGCGGAGCCACTATAAATTCAGGGAGTTCCCACACTAGACTGACTCACAGAACTCAGGAAGGTGCTTTGCTTACTATTGCTAGTTCCCTTTAAAAGGTGCAACTCCAGATCAGCCTAGTGGAAGGGATGCATAGCACCAGGTATAGGACCAAGGGTATGGAGCATCCAGACCACCTTCCCAGAACCTTGGTGTGTTCACCAACCTGGACCCTCTCAGAACCCCATTATTGGAATTTTTCTGCAGGTTTCATGGTGTAAATGTGACTGATCCAGTCACTGACCAGAGCTGATTGGCTCAATCTCCATCTCCTCTGTCTCCCTGGAGTCTGGCAGCTGGGCTTACAATTCCACCCCTAATCACGCGTTGGTCTTACTCAGCTGCCAGTCATCTCATCAGCAATAAGAGATGCTCTTACTGCTCTGTAGACTCCAAGATTCGTAGGAGCTGTGTGCTAGGAGTTAAGGAGCTCCTGTTGTATCACACCCTGCCACCCTTGGGTTCCCAGGAAGCAGCATTTATTGCTTGCTAAACACTTTCTTTGACCATGGCATGCATCACCCTACATTGCTAGAGGTCATCCTTGACTTCTCCCTCTTTCTTATGGCCCTCCATTGACCACGTGAGGATTCTGTTTCCTTAGTATCTTTCAAATCTATTCATCTGGCTCTACCCCTGGCTACCTTGGCTGTCATTCATTCTCACCTGGCTTCCAGCATTGAGTCCCTAACTGATCTCTTTTCCTCTGGGTTTGTCCTCCTCTGTCCTCTAGGTGCCCCCCTAGCACAGCTATCTCAAACCTATTCTGATTGTGTCACTTCCCTGTTAAAAACCCTCCCTTAGGTCTCCATTGCCTTCAGGGTAAAGTTTATACCAGAGATAACAAAATCCAGAGCTGGGTCAAGTGACAAGGGGATGATGGAAATGCATTTCAGGGGTTGGGCAGAGACTGAAAGCAGAGAGCTCATGGGTCATTCAGAGGGCAGCTGCTATCCAGCTCTCAGCTCCAGCTGTTTGTTGCCATGTAGTGTCAACAGATCTTTTGTATTTTCAAGAGAATCCGGACACCGTGATTTCTATAAACATTGGTGACCATTTCCCCTTTTAAAAAATATAGCACAGGCCAGGGCAGGCATTCGGCCTAGCAGTTAAGATGCTGGTTAAGATGGCCACATCCCAAATAGGAGCACCTGGGTTCCATACCTGGCTCCAGCTCCCAATTCCAGTTTCCTGCTGATACAGACGTGGGAGGCAGTGGTGATCATTTAAATGACTGGGTCCTACCATCCACAGGGGAATCCTAGATTGAGTTCTGAGTTCTGTCTGTCTCTCAAACATACACACACACACACACACGTAAACACATAGTGACAGTTCATAGGTTTACATAATGCACAATTCTTACCTCAGTAAAACTGATCAAATGAAAATAAATTGTGCAAGCAGAATGAAAAAGCCAAGATTGCCTCCCCACCCCAAATAAAAATAAAATACACGCTAAAACATGTCAAACCTCCAGTCACCATTTTGCCAGATTCAATCTGAATTTTAGCCAATTAGTCAAAGGCCTGCGTGGTTGTATTTTTGCTTGCATCTTTAGGATTTCTTCCTCCAGCTTGTCAATCACAAAGCTCACTGAGGTTCCCATTTGTCCCTGAGTCCCCACAGTAAGGCATAATGTTTGATTCACTGTTAGCTGCCCATAAATTAATTCATATTTTGAATGAATTAATATATACTAATATATTTTTAGAGTTCATGGAAAATGTTATGAGAAATTGAATATGGGGTTTAAAAGTCTTTACATCAAAACACATTTTCCTTTTTAAAACTATTTTATTTGAAAGGCTGAGAGAGAGACACAGAGACAGAGACAAAGCTCCATCTCCCATTCACTGGTTTAGTCCCTAAACACCCACAACAGCCAAAGTCAGGAGCCAGGAACTCAATCCAGGGCAGGAACCCAACCACCAGAGCCATCACCCTGCCTCCAAGAGTACACAGCAGCAGGTGGGATCAGGAGCAGAGCTGGGATTCTAACCCAGGCACTATGATGTGGTTTGCAGGTACTCCAGTGGCATCTTAACCACTATGCCAAATAGCCACCCCCATGAACTTTTTGTAGTACCCTCATCCACAAAATGCTCAAAAGTTGTAAGTTATACACCTACCATACTCTTACAGACATAGTTTTTGTAATATTATTTATGTTCCTAGACAGTAAGTTCTCCAAAGGTGGAGCACTTAGCATCTTCCTATGCCCAATGCACTCCAGGGAAATGAAAGTCAGTAGATACTGTGGAATGTCAGGCCATGGACAAAGACTATCCTGCCTTTCAGATAATATCTGTCTCTAAGTAAAATAGAAAGAGACACTGTGATTTAAAATAAATTCATACTTTGGTGGTGTGCTGCCGAAAACCCTCAACAGGCTCTTGAGGAAGATGTACCATTGCTTCCTCTACCTCTTGAGATGCCTCAGGTTGTGAAGGCGTTCTTGTCTTTTGTATTTACATATTCTGTATATACTTCTAAGCATAAGCATTTCTGTATTGAATATAGCCTAGAGATACCATATTTTTTTAGAATGAATGAGAAACCTTGTGATTTTCTTTGACAGATGTTTAACACAGAAGAAAGAAAATGTTTGCAGACTCACAGAGTCACGGTACATGGGGTCCCAGGCCCAGAGCCCTTTGTGGTTTTTACTATAAATGGAGGCACCAAGGCAAAACAGCTTCTCCAGCAAGTGAGTCCACTGAGCCCATGGTGGGGAGAATCCACTATTGTATGTATGTGGTGTGTGTATATATAAACATGTATGTGTGTGTTTAAACACACACGTGCATTAATTCATAGATGTTCATGATATGCCTTTGAATTTTTTGTAAATACCTTAATATTGAGATGCACTCTAAAAATGTTCTGAGGGATCTTTGTACCACTAAACAGGCTACCTAGACCAAAGAAAAAAACTTTAACAATTCTTCAGCCACATAAAACACTGGGATGTAGAAGGGGGGAGACCAGAATGAATGGCCCTGCAACCCTGTGTGCTTTTCCCTCTGTGCTGGCACACGGGCCTCATCTTCCTTCCTCATTCAGAACTTACTCATCAGTCAGAGTTGCAGTTAGCTGAATGAAATCTACGTGCCATCCTAGGAGCTGGATCAAACTCTAAGAGCATTAGCGTGGTCCACAGGGGCCGAGAAGATATCTCCAGCCCCTCCTGCCTAAGGCCTGCCTTTGCATGTTGAACAGCCAGCAGCCTCCTTCCCCTGGCACTTGACCTTGACCCTTGAGTCACCTTCCTGGTGCTACAAGGAAGAATGGAGAGCCTAGAACAAGAGAATGCCAGCTTATTACCCAAGACTCTGTAGCTGAACCTCCTGAGGGCTCTCATGCTGTGCCACATCAGCTGTGGATCCCCTTAGGGATCTCTGTGATCTTCGGTAGGCAGTATTGTGATCCATGCAATGACTTGGAGTATGAGTCAGCAAGGCAGAGCAGCACCCAGAGGAGGGAGGGCAAGGCAGGGCCTGTATGTAGTCCCTTTTCTGTCCACACCAGAAGCTCGAACTGTGCTTGACACAGTGGCCTACTACCTCTGCAGACTATGTTATCCTTAATTCATTTCAGAATTCCTTCTCCTTCTTGGAGTAGACCAAGGGGAACAATGACCAAGTGGAGTGACCCTTGAGCTCCCTTAGAAGTTAGGCTGAAATGTAGCTGCAATCGTGTAATGAATGGACGGTCACAGGGGATCAAAAGCCTATTGAAAAAAAAAAAGAGAGAGAAAAAAAAGCCTATTGAGGGGCCAGCACTGTAGCATAGCTGGTAAAGCCACTGCCAGTAGCACCTGCATCCCATACAGGGGACGGTTTGAGTCCCAGCTGCTCCACTTCCAATCTAGCTCCCTGCTAATGGCCTGGGAAAAGCAGCAGAAGATGGCTCAAGTGCTTGAGCCCCTGCTACCCTGGAGACCTAGAAGAAGTGCCTGGGTAAGCCCTGGCCATTGCAGCCATCTGGTGAACCGGATGGTAGAACCAGCAGGTGGAAGACTTCTCTCTCTCTCTCTTCCTCTCCCTTCTCCCCTCTCCCCTCTCCACTCTCCACTCTCCGCTCTCTGCTCTCCCCTCCCCCCCTCCCCTCTCCCTCTTCCTCCCCTTTCTTACTCTTTCAAACAAATAAATCTTTAAAAAGAAAAAACTACTGAAAAACCTTACATTAAAAAGTGTTAATAAATGGTTGTGTCCCTTGAGAGAGTGTATTTCTGCAGACCAGCAATATGTTGCCCACAACTTTATATAGGGTTTAAATAGAATCCTAGGAAATAAGTTTAGATGTCAAATTTCATAGTTTATCAAGTGGCAGCTGTTGTCAAGGGTTTTGGGTTTTGCTTGGAATCCGTCATCCTGTGAACTTCAGTGTGCACTCCCATAAAGCACTTGAGACTGTGGAGGGACAAGGAAACCATTCCATGGGCCACCTGCAAGAAGCAACCCATTGCTTTTTTGTCACCTCTTGCAAATAAGCACATGGATATAAAGCAGGCCTGAGGAAGGGGTGATGCTCGCCCCCTCATGGAGGGGACAGGCCAATGGCCGCCTAAAAACGTCAGGTCCTGAATTTTCCCATAGCAGCAATGATGTAGTAATCCCTTTGTCTTGGCCCCTGTAGTCAAAGCTTAGAATGGCCTCCATTACAGACCAGAGGCTGGGCTGGAAGGAGCAGGGTCTGCCCGCCTCCTCAGCACATTCCTTTCTGCTCTGGCTCCAGCGAGAGGCCACAGTGTTGACTCTGGCCATTGCATCCTTGCTGGGGCCTAGAGAGAAGGGCCTTTGCTTCATCTAGACCAGGTGGTGGCAGCTTCCTCTCAGCACTCAGCCACTTCTCACAGGAAGTGAGAGCTTCCTCAACGCCACTGACGTTCACTCCCAAGTTCAGTCTGTTATCAGAAATCTGTGCAATAGGAGTGAGAAAGAACACAGTAAAAAGTACCTGGGATGGTGCTAGTATTTATTGATTTCTCATAATATACCCATGCCAGACTTTATGCCCCAACCACAAAACAAAAGAAAATTAAGAGACTATTATAGTTACTATTTCCCATTTTATAGGTGGGAAAATCGAGTCTCCAAGGGGTTAAGTATCTTATGCCATGCCTCACAGCCCATAAGTGTTAAAGGCAAACCTCAGACTCAGGTCAGCCCAGCTGCAGTCTCCACAGCCTTTCTGTTTGACTGCACAGGGGTTATTAATTAACAAAGAACTCTTGGGGCTGGCATCGTGGCATAGCAGGTAAAGTTGCCACCTGTGACACCCGCATCCCATATGGGTACTGGTATGTGTCCCAGCTGCTCCACTTTCAATCTAGCTCCCTGATGATCGCCTAGGAGAAGCAGCGGGAGATGGCCCACGTGTTTGGGCCCCTGCCTCAGGTGAGAGTCTCAGATGAGGTTCCTGGCTCCAGGCTTTGGCCTGGTCCAGCCCCAGCAGTTGCAGCCATCTGGGGAGTGAACCAGTGGATGAAGGATCTGTCTGTCTCTCCCCCCACCGTAGCTCTTACTTTCTAAATAAATGAATAAATCAGGAAGGAAGGAAGAGGAGGAAGAGGAGGAAAGAGGGAGAAAGAACCCTCTAAGCATACTGTCAAGAGTTTATTGAAAGGAAATTCCCATGAACTTGGATCAGATGAGAATTTAGCCCTGTGAACCTGCCTTGAGAAGATGATTATTTCCAACATGAGAAAACAATTATTTTAGTAAAAGTTGGGCTAGGTTCTTTACCCTTGGTCCTGTGCTGGGAGATTACAAAGGGCTAAGTTTGTGGACTGCAAAATCTACAGTTTTTGATTCAGTCAGTTCTTATTCCAGCAGTGGGAAACATAGTTACGCTGTCCAGGGATTATGAATAAAGTGTGCTATTGCCCAGGTGGACGTGAACAATCCTTCTTGGACTTGAAACAACTCTTAGATCTTCCCAGCAGAGTGATGCATCCCTCCAGAGGAAAATGCACTCGTAAATTGCACAGCAAACCTATCTGAACACCACGAAAACAGACTTGTTTTGTTTTCAAGGTTTTTCTTCACTTTTCAGAGGTGTGCCAAAATTTGCCTTTGTTCTTTCTTTTAGATTCTGAAAATGGACCATGACACCAAACCTGTTGCCACAGACTATTTTTTGATGGAAGAGAAGTATTTTATATCTAAAGAAAAGAATGAGTGCAGGAAGCAGCCTTTCCAGAGAGCCATTGGCCCAGAAGAAGAGATCCTGCAGATCCTGAGCAGCTGGTTCCCAGAAGAAGGCTATGTGGGCAGGATCGTCTTCAAAACTCAGCAGGAAGTAAGTGTGTCCAGGAATAGCCTACACTAGAAGAGCTCAGTGTCAGTAACCATCTCCCTGCTTGCCACCACCCTCAAGTTCAGCGTTTCTTCTAATTACAACTTGGTTTACACTAACCTTAAGTAAATGTAGAGAAATGATTGTATTCTTCTACACATATTCAGAATTGTATTTCTAGTTAACATCCAGTCTTTAAAAATCCCTTATAAAACAAAGGAAGCAGGAGCTGGCACTGTGGCCCAGTGGCTTAAGCTGCTGCCTACAACACCAGCATCTCATATGGGTTTGAGTCCCAACTCCTCCACTTTCAGTCTAGCTCTCTGCTAATGTGCCTAGGAAAGCAGTGGAAAATGGCCAAGTACTTGGACCCCTCACATCCATGCAGGAGCCCTGGAAGTAGCTCCTGGCTCCTGGCTCCTGGCTTCAGGCTGGTTCAGCGTTGTCCATCAAGGCCTCTTGGAGAGTGAACCAGCAGATGGAAGACCTCTCTGTCTCTCCTTCTCTATCTGTAACCTTTTCCAATAAATAATCTTTTTTAAAAAAAGAAAGCACAGACAGCACAGAACCCTATATAAAATACTGCCATAACCCTGACTGTTGATCTGATAACTAACTCAGCTACTTAAAGTGACAAATGGGCAGGTGGTTAGTTATGGACATTCTGGAACAGAGCAGGCTATTCAGAATGGAGCCTTATGAATTGCTTATTTCTGGAATTTTCCATTTAATATTTTTGAACCATGATTGACAGTAGCAACTGTAGAAAATAAAAATGCAGATAAAGGGGGAACTACTGTACTGTGTACTACAAAGCCTGTAGGTATTGTACAGCTGTGGGTTGGTGGCCTTCCTATTAGTGCCTGCTAAAGTTTTAGCTCATACAGTGTTGTTGTTGTTTTAAGATTTATATTATTTATTTGAAAGGCAGAGCTACAGGGAGAGGGAGATCTTCAACCCGCTGGGTCACTACCCAAGTAGTCACGACTGGTGGAGCTGAGCCAGGCCAAAGTGAGGATCCGGGAACTCCATCCAGATCTTTCACATGGGTGGCAGGGGTCCAACTTCTTAGGCCATCTTCTACTGCCTTCCCAGGTACATTAGTAGGGAGCTAGATTGCAAATGGAGCAGCCAGGACTTGAACCAGTACTCCTGGGATGTTTTGTGTCACAGGAGGTCATTTAATCTGCTGTATCAGCAATACTGGCCCCAGGTCATACAAGTTGAGTATCCCTAATGTGAAATACAAAATCTGAAATGCTCCAAACTGCAAAACTTTAAATTTTAAAGATTAATTTATTTGAAAAGCAGAGCAATGAGGGTGGGGGTAGGGGGATCTTCTATCCATGGTTCCCTCCCCAAATGGCCACAACAACCAGATCTGGGCCAGGATGAAGCCAGGAACCAGAAACTAAACCCAGATATCTCCCATGTGGGTGGCAGGAACCCAAGCACTTGAACCATCTTTGCTTCCCTCCCAAGCACACTAGCAGGAAGCTAGATCAGAAGCAGAGTAGCTGGGACTCAAACCAGCACTCTGATATGGGGTGCCGGCATTACAAGCAGCAGCTTAACCTGCCGTGCCACAATACTGCCCCCCTCCTTTAAAAAACATTGACTGATTTGAAAGACAGAGTTACAGGGAGAGTGGGGAAACAGAGAGAAACTTCCATCCACTGGTTCATTCCTTAAATGGCCACAAGTCAGGGCTAGGCCAGACTGAAGCCAGGAGCCCAGCACTCCATCCAGTTTTCCCAAATGGGTGGCAGGGGCCCAGGTACTCAAGCGATCATCTACTCCCTTGGCAAGTGCATTAGCTGGGAACTAGATTGTAAGAGCAGCTGGGACTCAAACCAGCACTCCAGTATAGGATGCCAGCATCAAAAGCAGTGCCTTAACCTGCTGTGCCACAACACCAGCCCTAATCTGAAACTTTAAGCATCAACATCATGCTCAAAAGGCTTTGGATTTTGGATTTTTGATTAAAGACACTCAACCAGTAAAGTCTACGCAAACATTCTAAACTCTCCCCCAAAAAACTGAAGCCTGAAACATTTCTGGCCCCAACTATTTCAGGTAAAGGATACTCTACCTGTAAAAGGTTCTGTGCTGGTAAGCAAACCAATAATATTTCTTTGAAAATATCCCATAACTTCACACAAAGCCAGAAAAGTCTATCAGCTTTGGTCAGAATTAGTGAAAGTATATGTTCACATGTGCTAAATGCCCAGGATCACTCAGATGAATGAAGGGATGCAGCCAGTGCTCTGTTGATTCCAAATTGGTTGGCTTCTGTTGATGGAACACATCTTCAAATTCTCTCTTAAATGTTTTGCCCATTTCTAATTGTCTTTTTCTCATTAAACAGCAGCCACTAAAATATCCTTGAGTTACAACATCAGTGAATAAGTACATTTTTCTCTTTTTTTTTGTACTTAAGAAATTTATATTTATTAAATAAAAGCTTTCTATAAGAAAAAAGAAGCAGAGCTGAGATTTGAACTCAGGAAGTCCAATATGGGATATAGGAGTACCATGTGGTGCCAAGTATACATTTTTCAAACCATGTATTTGCATCACTCCTTACAGCACTGAGCTTTCAAACTGCCACTGTCTTGAGTGATCTAGTGATATAATGGAAACCATTTTACACAACCGAGATCCAAAAACTTTAAATCATGACAGGATCAGAAGTAGAAAGAACTGAAGTCTCAAAGCTTCTGGGTCACTGTTCCTTCTACCATACCCATCTCGTGCTATCTGGGCTTGAGTTGTGTCAGTCTGTGTGGATTATGTACACCCAGCACCATGGGAGGCAGCGAGAGGCAGAGAGCAGGAGAGATGGGGGGTACTGAGAACACTCGTGGGACTTCACTTCATGATTAGAAGGACTGGGTCCAGGAGTGTTCGGTGCAGTGGTTTAGCCTCCATGTGGGATGTTTGTGTCCCAGATCAGAGTGCCTGGGGTTAAGTCCTGGCACCACTTCCAATTCTAACTTCCTGCTAATGTGTACTCTAGAAAGTAGCAGGTACTTAAATCCCCGTGGCCCATGTGGGGGACCCAGAATGAGTTCTTGGCTCCTGGCTGACCTAGCCTAGCCCACGTGTTGCAGGCATCTGGGGAATGAACCAGATGATATCTCTCTCGCTGGCTCGCTCTCTCTCTTTCTCTCCCTCTTCCTCTCTCCCCCCTCTTTCAAAGAAAGGAAGGAAGGGGAAAAGGAAAAAAGGAAGGGAGGGAGGGAGCAAGCTACTATGGAGGTTAGGGTACCCATAGGGTACCCATACGCAACTTAAATATATGAAGATATTTCATAAATTGTGTGGCAAGATGAATTAAATGGTAAGTTTATTTTAATGCAAAAAAATACTTTTGAAATCCCTGCTCCATTAATGGGAAATTTTTTAAATGATTAAATATATCTCAAAAAGAGAACAAATGACATTTAGTGTATGTAAGCTTACCTGGTGCATAGTGATACCAATAAATATCTACCACTTGGGTAAATGAATTTAGCAATTATTGAAAGCAAGATGGCATATCATAGATGATAGATTTTGGGTTGTAAGTATTTCCATTTAATTTATTCTGTGGTACCAGTGAAATAAACAAGCAGTTTAGCCATATACAAAGTCTCCAAATTGTCTGTGATCTATGATGTCTCCTGCTTGCCTTTTATCATTTCCTTGTTTCCTGTGCTGTCAGGTATTCCCCCCCTCCTTTTTTAAAGATTTTCTTATTGGGGCCGGCACTGTGGCATAGCGGCTCAAGCCGCTGCCTGCAGTGCCAGCATCTCATATGGGTGTTTGTTCAAGTCCTGGCTGCTCCTCTTCCGATCCAGCCTTCTGCTATGGCCTGGGGAAGCAGAAGAAGATGACCCAAGTTCTTGGGCCACTGCACCCATGTGGGAGATTGCAAAGAAGCTCCTGGCTCCTGGCTTCAGATCAGCCCAGCTGTGGCTATTGTGGCCATGTGGGGAGTGAACCAGCGGATGGAAGTCTGTCCCCTCCCTCCCTCCCTCCTCCTCCTCCTCCTTCTTCTTCTGGATGGAAGTCTGTCCCCTCCCTCCCTCCCTCCCCCCCCTTCTCCTTCCCCTCCACCTCCCCTCCCCCTCCTCCTCCTCCTTTTCTCTCTCTCTCTCTCTCTCCTTCTCCCTCTCTCTCCCTGCCTCTCTGTAACTCTATCTTTCAAAAAATAAATAAATCTTTAAAAAAATATTTTCTTACTTATTTGAAAAGCAGAGTTACAGAAAGAGTGGGAGAAACAATTTCTGTCTTCTGGTGCACTCCCCAAATGGCCTCAACAGCAAGAGCTGGGCCAGGTCAGAACCAGGAGCTTCATGTAGGTTTCCCACATGGGTGGCAGGAGTCCAAACACTTAGGCTGTCCTCCATTGCTCTCCCAGGCACATTAGCAGGTAATTGGATTAGAAGTGGAGCAGCCAGGACTCGAACCAGGACCCATATGAAATGCTGGCATTTCAGGCAGTAACCTAACCCACTGCACCACAATGCTGGCTCCCAGATACCACATCTGTGGTGAGTGTGCCCTCCTCTAATTGCTATTGGATTTGAAACTAGACAAACTTGGGCCTTGCAACAAATTAGATAACACTGAACAGGTCATCTAACTTATGTAAATCTCACTGTCCTAATTTGTGTAACCTGTAATAGAAACTGCTTTACTGCTCAAAAAAACTATCAGAAGACTCATATCAAAAATGTGACAATGGGGCCAGCACTGTGGCACAGAGGGTTAAAGCCCACAGCACTGGCATACCATATGGGTGCTGGTTCAAGTCCCAGCTGCTCCTTTTCTGATCCAGCTCTCTGCTCTGGCATGGGAAAGCAGCAGAAGATGGCCCACGTCCTTGGGACCCTGCACCCACATGGGAGACCCAGAAGAAACTCCTGGCTCTGGCTTTGGATCAGCTCAGCTGATTGTGGTCATTTGGGGAGTGAACCAACGGAATGGAAGACCTCTCTCCCTCTGGCTCTGTCTCT